GGAAATGGAGTTGTGCCATTATTGACACTCCATTCCCTCGGCAACGGTCATGGGCCGGGTGTCGGCCGCAGAGCTACTAGCCTGCGAGGGTGGCGAGGTTTCCCCAGCAGGTTTAGAGCCCCTCTTCTTTTTCTTTTTGGCCTTGTTGGCAGGCGCACCACAGGCCTCTCCACCTACTATGTGTCCCGCTGGTTTGCCCGCAGCCGAGCACAAGCTGCAGTTGGGCGCCGCGGTGCACTGGGCCGCCTTGTGGCCGGTCTGACCGCAGCGATAACAAAGGTCACTTCGGTCAATCTCGGCGGTACATTTTGCCCGGACGTGCCCCTTCTCCAAACACCGGAAGCACCGCAACGCCCGAGGCTGCAGGAGTTTGACCCTCGCTGCAACCCAGCCAACCAACAATCTGCCGCTATCGGCAAGCTTCTTCGCCGAGGCTATAGGGCACCGAACCCAGACTACGCCGAGTCCGGAGGCGTCGGCGCGTATATCACCAGCTCGCACCATGTCCGGCGGGCATTCGCCGCTTCGGGCAGCGGCCGCCACCACCTCCTCAGAGGTTACGGAGTCGTCCAGGCCAGCAATCCGCACCTCTGCGGTTTTCATAGGTCTGGAGACCCGAACGTCCTCCGAGTTAAGGACCTCCCTCATCTTGGCGGCCAGAGCGTCTGCCTTTTCAGCACTGCCGGTAGTAGCACCAGCCACCTCGAACAGTCGTGCACCCGTGGCAGCCTGCCTGAGGGTGACGGACTGGAGACCAAGATCTGTTAATTTGATCTTGGCCTTGGCCTCGGCAATGACCGACTGGTACGTTACGCCACGCTCTATAGCCCCAGGCTGTAGCGTGAGAGTGACAGCCTCGGAACGCGGGGCACGTAAAGTCGGTCCTTTGCGACCGCCTTTGGCGGTCCACCGCGCAGGCTGCGTGATCGCCTTTGCGCTTCCACCCGGAGGGCATGCAGCTGCTGCAGCCTTCTTGGCAGCTTTGCGGGCCTTCTTGCGCCCTACGACTTTTGCCCAAGTCTCACTCTTGGACCCGGCAGAAGTGGGCTGGTCGCTTGGAGGAGCTCCCTCCGTGGACTTCCCCTTTTGAGGCCCAATTGTCGGCCGCTCCTCATTCCTTCGCGTGTCAGCCGCTAGAGGCGGACGGAGGGTTTCCGCTGGAAGACGCCGGGAAATAGCTTCCAGCCGAGCGTTTACCATGCTCCCACACTGGAGCATGCAGAGCCGGACAATGCGCTCGACCTCTTCATCAGTGCGAGGGATTGAAAGAAACCATACAAAGTCTTGTACCTATTACAAGTATTACTTCTTATTGCTAGTTAATACATGGCTATTACAAAATTCTACTTCTAATGTCGTGGAAGAAAAATATCTACCTCAAATCAACCCTTAGTTTGTGAATCTGTTGCTATTTCCGTCCAGTAATTTACGAAATATCTATGTAGTTAACAAATAGTTGACTGTTTTGTTGATTTAGTTGTAACTAAGTGCCATCGAAAGAACGATGTTCAGAGCTTATTTCCAGGCAAAGAAAATTACCTACCTATTTTGTTGGCAGTTAGTCAGACTTTGCCTTTCACGAAATTTCGTGTTCCTAGTTTAGTCGAATTGAACAGACTACTAAGACGACTACAAGGACAGGAAAGTCTTCAGTGTCGCGTTCGTTTATTCAACTTGGGCAAAGAGTTATAGGTGTTTCATAATTCTCCTTAAGTGATCCAAAATTATTCACAGAACCATAAGTCCCACTGGCAAATTAACAGTGTCTAATAACTTTCGGTGAGTACAGACAGTTGAATATTTGTGTAGATAAGTACATTAATTGTATGGCAACAGAGACACCCACGTGAGACCTGTAACTAAAAGGCCTTAGCTAATTAGATCTTCGAATTTATTACAAAACATCAAGTTTGAAAATCAAAAGAATAACTAAATCGAAACTTTAAGAGTAATTCTTGTTCAGTTGTTCTACAAGTTAGTAAATGAAAAATACTTTTTGAACAAGTTTGATAAATGACTTTACCCTTTGCGCCTCTGCCATACAGTGCTATGTACAATACATGTGTTACTTTGAACAGCATACATATGCACTTAACCAGTATATCTCCAAGCGGTCACCGGTGACTGCTCTCCACTATATAAGTTATTTCCAATGTTTGGAGACAAATTAAGGGTTTAGGGAACAGAGAGTATAGTTCCCTAAGATCGGAAAAGGAGGATCCTCCGACCAGGCGAGGTGATCGTGCCTGGCGGGCTTTCTGCCCAACAGTTGTTCGTTGGGATTTTCTATCCGTATTTATTTGCTTGTAAACTTTGCATGTGCGATGTAGGATTCTTGTGACGTCATCCGTTGACATGTGGCACGCGTCGCCACATCACTCCCTCCCAAGACCGGAGGTCGATTCCGCTGAGACTGCTGTCGATGCTTGAGATGAGCGGTGCCAGAGCCAGTGTAGAACGTCCCTAGTTCCAGTGGGTCGGAACCGTGCCGCTGAGTGCCCAGTGAGTCGGGTCAGCGGTGCAGGGTGAAACTCCAGTGAGTCGGAGAGATGAGTTCGCAGTGTCCCACGGTGAGTCGGGGAAGAGATGCTGCGAGGGTAGGTGCGTAGTGGCCGGCATCTGCGTTGACGGGAGGAGATGTCCTTCAGAACCGTGTGCAGAAGTGCTGTGCCTAGACGCTGGTGAGGCCGTAGGGAAGAACCAGGCTGCACAACTTCGTTGCAGGTAATGGTGGTCCCTGATGAGGCCGAGGATGCTGGTTGGCTGCGACTTGGTTACCGCTCAGCGGAGAAGTGATGAATGAGAGGGATGGCGATACGGATGACGGTGCTAATCTGCTCCGTGAAGTGAAGGTTGTTTCCAATCACGTCGGGGTCACCACTTTAGGGAACAGAGAGTATAGTTCCCTAAGATCGGAAAAGGAGGATCCTCCGACCAGGCGAGGTGATCGTGCCTGGCGGGCTTTCTGCCCAACAGTTGTTCGTTGGGATTTTCTATCCGTATTTATTTGCTTGTAAACTTTGCATGTGCGATGTAGGATTCTTGTGACGTCATCCGTTGACATGTGGCACGCGTCGCCACAAGGGGATGATTTTCAAAAAATTTCAACGGGTTAAGTAAACTTTGAAATTATTATTTGCTAAAATATGTTTATCTAATTAAATACTTTAAATAAATGACTGAATGTGTCATTGGGATTATTCTTATACATATTACATGATTCATAGCTCTAATAATAATTAATTTTTTACTGATGAGGAAACATGTCACATTTATTAATGTTATCAAGTTTAATAATTATTTCATAGGTAAACTAAAGATTAAATACCTAAATTGTAAAAGTAAATCATATAAATATTACTCATAAATCTTTGCCAGAATTTGGACATTTACTATTTAACTCGTTGAGTACCATATTTATGGACACAATTAAAGAACAATAGGTTGCGGTCACCGGTGACCGCTTGGTGTTTGACAGTTTAAACAGACAGACAGTTTCTATTTAAAACTCAATGCTATTATACAAATATTGTATTGTTTTTTTAACTTTGTTGTGATCGCCAGACATCTCATCTCACAGACACCACATTACAACACAATTAAAACAAGTTTCATTTCGAACCAGGTAGTTATGATAATGTCAATAAATTATACTTTCAATAGAGTTCTCGCAGATACTACAAAACTAGATTGTGGTGTATAATAAATTATTCATTTTCATATTACAACCTGGCCTGGAAGATTATATTACCTGTGTCCAGTGCAGCATAGACAATTTTTTCAGTCATAACAACCTTTTAAAACTGATTAACCGTATTGTTTAATTGGCTTATTTAGAAAGTAAGTGCTTTGTGCTTAGCAACACAGTTATTGATTTATTTAAATTAGATGATATAGGCAACTATAATGTAACAATACAACAATAATGGAATAGGTATATTGGTAATGATAACTTTATTAGTAAATATGGTTAGGGAAAAAACACGCTTAAATAATTTAATTATGAAACCTAATAGGTCCTGATATCAATCCACAAGGCTGATTGGATTTCATTATGAAACTTTCCCATTAACATTAAATAAAAGATTTCATTTACATTTTAAGAATTCTTTCTTAAGGAACAAAAATATTAAAAATTTAAATAGGAACATTGAAAACTTAATTCATTCTTTATTTAAAAATACAAAACATCTGTGTTTTATTTAATTACCTACCTTATAAAAAACTGAAATCAAACATGACAAGGCCAGTGAGAATAAATAATATTTGTGTGTACAGATAAGAAATCAATTATAATACTGGTATGGCTTTATGTCTTACAAGATTTTGGCAATACCTCTTTACTAGAGTAGGCCAAGTATACTCATTAAAGTAAATATGAATATGTCCTTGTTAAAAATTATTTAGGAAAACCACAATTAATTAATTATGTAGTTAATTATAGGACAACAGCATTAGGTGTTCTCATTATCCTGTTTTAAACACCGGCAGCCAGACATAATGGTCATTATTATGTTAGTTTTGTATTAATTATCGGTAGGTATGTGTCACAGAAACCATTGACCCTCTATGGATTAGTTACTCACTCCATATAAATTAATTTGGTTGGTAGCAAAGTTTCAGAAATATTGTAAATGCCATCATAATCTAATATGAAATATAAACATAACTGAACTAAAATTATAATAATAATATTAATGGACTGATATTGGACTCAGATACGATTAGATTCAAACCCCAGCGACAGTCGTTATGATATTAAACAAGTTTTGAATGAATCACCTCAAACATTATGTAAATGAAGTATGCATGAGAGTATCATGAAAATTAAGCTTTTTCTAGTAAAGAATATAATTCTAAGACATATTTAAACACAAAGAACCGGCGGGAAATGCGTTGCTATGTTAAGTAACACAAACAATTATGGGAAAATCCAATGGGAACCCAGACTGTGCTACAAAATATTCGACGCTGGAAAACTAAGTATTCAAAGTACTTACACTTCAAGTATACGGTCGCCCTTCCTGATGCCAGCTTGCTCAGCCGCCCCATTCTCCAGCACAGCGCTGACATGCTGCAGAGGAGCATAAAGTTCACCGTTAATCGATCTCAACTGCCCCCCTTCAGACACTTGACCGCGCACGTTAAAACCAAATCCAGTCTCAGTTTTATAGATAGTAACGCGACGGGGTCCATTGGCAGGCACTGTATTCCTATTATTTCTTTCGGATCTAATAATACTGTTATTATCGGTTTCTGTCTCAGCCATTTTGAACAATTTCCATCACAGATAAATAACAATTGACGTTTCCTAGTGGGGTGACCAGATTCGAACATAAATGACAAAAAAGTGATACCATTCGCATAATGTTCGCATAAGTAAAGAAAAAAGAAAATCATGTTCAATTCTTTAACACTTCGATTTTATTTTTTGAAACCTTGTTGTTTACTAATATTATTAAGGACCATTGAGGTGATTTATAATTAGTTTTCCACAGATTTTATCTAAAGTGATATAATGCGCCATCTACAGGTGTTTAGGATGCAACACTTTGCTCGCATGATAAAACAGTGTGGTTTTGCAATTACTTTTCGACAGAGAGCGGTAGTATCGAAACAACGTGGTACAAAAATTTCATTTTCTTTCACATCAAAATCAGCTGTGAACATCAGTATGGCCGCTCCATTATCTAAAAAATAAAATTGTTTTTGTAAAATCATACAAAAAAAATAGTAAAGTGCAGTTTTCGTACTTACACCATCTAATTGTACATTTTGCGAATAGTGTTGATGTTGACTAAAAGTGTTGCGTCATGACAGAGACCTCTCACTGACAAACAAATACAATAAAAATTGCGACTCGCTTATTACGGCGACTTATTGTAATTTCTATTGGACTCGTATAACGTTTCTGTCGTTCGGTTGAGGGCTGATGTTATTACTGAATCGTTATCGAAATTTATATAATGAGTAGTGTTAGATTGAGTTTTGTATCCGTGGGAAGGATAGCAGTAAGAAGAAATTCACAAATATCGGGTGAGTGCATAATAATTTCACTATTTAGTGTTGTTTTTTTGCTGGTTGGCGTTGATCCAGGCTCGTGTCGCAGTATCTTGCGATGTTCTTTGTGTTCGAATGCGTACACGATTAGGTGTTTGATAACAAAACGTGATGTTTTATGTTGCTTATCTTGCGTGGTGTACCTAGAGTCCGTACGATACACGCGTGATGGCGCGTGTTAGGCGGCTGGACATTCCCGCTGTAATTAATTCATAATAACTCATTCTGAAGCTGTTTTCCTTCCATTACGGTGCAGGGCCTATCAAGGTGAATGTGGAAGCAAGGTCAAGGGAGTCACGTGTATCAATGACACTGGCCGCATAAATATCATTATTGGAAACTGGTATTCTGATTCTGTAATTTTCTAATTGGAATCCATCATAACACTGATAAACATCAATGGTAATTCCTGAACTTTAGCACCACAGTGAAATGTCAGATTCCAATTTTGAAAACAACTGGTTTAGAATGTCATTATAATGTTACCACATAAATGAAATACCTATAATTAAATAAGAAAAGAAAGTTGTTGTGCATGCAGTATTGTTGCCTTTTGGTTAACGGATGAAGCCGTGAGAAATTATAATATTCTGTAACCAATAAATTACAAGGTCTTTCTTAGAGCCTGCTTCAAATGTTTACATTACAACATTGAAAACAAATGTAAAACACCAATTATTTCCTTAATTCTAATGATAATTGAAACTTATCATATTATTTTTAACCTCTAACATAACAAACGGGTATCATTATTTCCTCTTAAAACTTCTTTGTTAAAATACAATATTGTATGAGATATTATAATATGTATTGTTAATTGATAGTTAGTTTTTAAAAAAATACAGCTTCAACATGGTCTTTGTTTTTCATCTTTGTATTTAGTTTTCAACGAGCAAAACATTTGGGTATACATGTTACCGTAACTAATAACATACCTAGTTGTTGCTGCGAACTATACTATAGTTACAAATACAGTACAATTTGTTATTTTTAAACATATTCTATGAGAATAATATTGAATTTCTTTTTGTAAATTTTTAATGGTAACATAGTACCTAATACAATAATTCTGCATTGAATTTTATCTCTATGTAGCAAGGGATTTTCATATTATACTATAAGCTTATGTTTTCAATCGCAGGTGTAAAACTTGTCCGGAGAATGGACACTTTCAAACATTGACTTCTTATAGCAGCCTTCTTTATTGGTCTGTTTTTTTATGTTATTTCATGTATGTAGTTATGTATTGTGATAATGAATTGAGACTGTTATGTAAACATTGTTGTATACTAAATAATGTATACTTCTACCTAAACATTCAATTCATCAAGGGTTAACAAACTTCTTATTGGAAACTGTTACCTATCTAAATAGAATTAATGTTCAATATCTGTTGTAAGTTAAATATGCATCTGCTTGGGTACTACAGACCAAAGTAAAAATATCTAAATATTGTTTCTAAACTGTAAACAGAGTTTTGACATACCTACCTAGTCCGCCTATAAAATTATCAGATCTATAAAAAGGTAATCTTGATTCTTATTCAATTAAAAAAAAGAATATATCACAGTCAATCCTGAATATGTTATAGAACTATAAACAATTATATTCCCGTGATTTTTCATAAAGTAATTATCCCTAGTGTCCTAAAACCAAGTTTCTTATTGGTATATACTTCGAATGATAATATTACGAAAGTTGGCATAACTATACATTTATAAGAGACCAATAAGATTCTATAGGACCTACTAGTCCTAACTCAGAAAGTGGTCTTTTACCCGTAGTTAAATATAAATAAATTCATATGCGTACATTAAAAATAATGAACACCTCCCTAAATTAACTAAAAATCGCAGGTTACTCACGTGAATTGCCGTTCTAACAGTTTCGAACCACAGAGGGGTTCTTCCTTATGAGCAACGTGCGCAGTCGCGGTTATGTCGCGCAACCTACTTCACGCGAATAACCCGTGATTTATGGTTAATTTAGTATGTTTCACGATAGTTATTATAAAAACAACAACTCCCTAATTTCTAAAGGGCCAAAACATGACAAAAATTCCTAATTCCGGTCACAAAAAACAACATAATATTGGCAACCGAAAGAAGGCTAGATGTCTGATAAAGACGTGCACCAAATCCGTAACTTCGGCCGTCTGGTCGCAATTTAGTAGCGTCTAACCCTGACCGATTTGAAAGCACCAGCTAAGGTCCTGATCACCTTATCGGGCGCACGATTACATGTGCCCACTGTAGAAGGTGCGTTGACATGAACTTTTAATGATATCTCCACGTGACGTGACTGTAGGTAGTCGCTGATAAGTTATCTGTCAACTAAAAACAATTGAAGTTGTTTGGTTTTGTTTTTGTCTCATTTACATCTTCTGTAAATACCTATGAAGATGTTGGCGATTACTGTCTCGCAGCGTTTTCATCTATCGGGCGATTTACAGCGGCAAAGGAACAAGATAAATGCAGCTAAAATGTAGAATCCTGATAGAAGTATCAATATTTAATGTAGAAGATATATTATGTTCAAAACTTTATGTTTATGTACAAGCAAACATAGACAATGATTAACGAATTTATTATTAGAAGCATGTCTAACGAAGACCGATAAAGGTTGACCCGGTCAAAATGTTCGTGTACCTTTTGACGGCCAAAATCAACTTGCTTTCATAAACATTTATAACTAGCTAGATTAGTAATCGTAGCAAAAAACGACTGGTTAATTAACGCATGTTCATAAACTGTATGATTGCTCATTATAAAATCGGTAAATAAACGTAAGTTACCAACGTAGACAAAGAGCCCGCTTCCTAATCCCTGTTACTATCTAACTTACGTAACTATTTCACACTTTCTTAATCAACTACCGTTTAGTAAAGTACGTATATAATTTGTGTACCTACTTCAATTTAAAGTGCACTATTAATAGTGCATTTTGTCGAGGGCATTGATAAAACACGTGTGGATAATATTAGATGTAGCGATGTTGAAAATTGTATTGCCAAGTGCGGTCTTCATTGACGATGACTCGTGTTTTTGTTGTGTAGACTGTAGTACACACTTGTAGTTCCTTTCCTTTCATTTGCGAGAACTGTGAAAGTTGTTGATCAACGCATCTTTAAGTGTAAGTAAAATTTGTAGCAAACGAGCCACTATGGAGAAGGGTGTTTTTTGCAGCCGTCGACGCCAAGTCATCAAAATTCGTTTTGAGACGTCGGCGCCGGGCATCTTGAAAACCCTAGACAATACCGCTCTCTCTTTTGAAGAGTTGCTAGATCTATCCAATTAGGTAGTTATTGTATTAGATAATTTTAACTGCCGTCGCATAAACTAGCCTTTACTAAAACATTCATAACTACGTCGTAAAACAGCAATTGATGTTGTCCAGTTACCAGTAGAATTACAACATGTGTTTCTTATTTACTTCCTACCAATTTAAAACATGAGTTTAGTTTCCAGTAAGACGACGCAATATCTTATTTGTTTCCTATAGGCACTTATCTATTATTTTCTGATTTCTGAAATGATTTCCTCCATCCATTACCTTCTTAAGAGCACTTTATGTGAGTACTGTATATACCTTGACTGAAGCATGACTAAGCTCGCGTAATTGTAGCTTTCATCTCGTATCATTTCCGTATTTCTAAATATTACGTCATTAAAATGAGCATTATTATGTTGTGATTATCAAATTAAGTAATCTCGGTATGCATTGTTTGTTTTTTTAGTATGGAATATAATTTGTGGTAGGTGCGTAGGTATGTAAGCATATACGCGCAACTGAAGCTTGTTTCTGAGTGATTTTGATAGAATATTATATTGAAGTTTTTTTTGAGATGGAAAAAAGTACCCGCTTTCTTTGAAAGAAGCACCACCGAGCCTCCGAATCCTTGTAAGGTTTCGTTTTACAACTTTTCCAAGTTTTTGCTTGATATACTTAATCTAAAACAGAGATCGGGGGGACAAAAAAGGGTTAAGTAAATCTCCAATAAAACTTTATTAGTTAAGTCGTAATTAAAACAGAAGCAGAACAAGCGATGACCTCTACGTGATTGTTTTGTTGTTACATAGTGGCTGACGCATGCTTTGATGTCAACACTACGTCACAAGTAGCTACTATCATACATCTCTAGAAAGGCACGACGCACGCACATGCCTGATTAGAGATCGTAGGAAAATTAGATTTGAGATGATTGAGCCCTTTCTTCTCTAACGACTATGTAGAGAGACTATCGTTATGGGTGATTGACCCTGGAAGTAACAATCTCTGATGTAATATGCATTGTATACAGTTGGACATAGTGTTTAATCTCGCACCTCGTTAGTATTCTCTTAGGAATCTTCTTCGTCATTGCTCTGATAGGATTTGTGTCAATAAAAAATGGCGGACAATGATAGCAATCTAATGAAGTTCTGCAGTGACGTCTTTCTAAAAAAATTGTGAATAACCACATGTCATTCAAATTGCAGAATGCAGCTGACAAAGTACTTAATCAGCTTATCACAGATACTACCGATTATGTTTAATCTTAAAACGTGTTTGCACGTGTCTTCTGTTTTGCTTCGATAACTAACATATAAAAATAAACAAGTTTACCATCTTATGCAAACTTTATACTACCTAATACATAATTTAAGTACGTATTTACTTTTACTTTGGTTCTTATGTAAATTGGCAATTTATTATACACGTTGATTATACCGTCTGTGGCCCATAGCCATATTGGACGCGTAACTCACGAGATAAATAGATAGGCACATTATATTTAAGTCTTTAAATCATACTTAAAGAGAAGGCATCGCCAGTGAAAGATGATTGACACAGACAAAAAAATCATGGCCAATTAGATAGGATTAACACGCAAATCTCAACTCTAAATGAACCCCTTAAAAACCTATTTTAAGTTTTTGCTTCTCGGGTTTCATAGTCCGCGAGCCGCACATAACATTTGTAACTTCACCTAGATTATCTAGAATGTTAGGAAAGTGAAAGTAGTTACGTCACTCCCAATCATTTTATTACATTGTATGCTAACGTTTTTTATTTAAATTTTACTAAACCAGATTCGTTGAAACTTGTTTTACACAAAAATCGCTCGTTGAACGAAATTTTAGCACCTTTATTTTTATATCTCTTGCAATATGACAATAAAATGTATTATTGTGTAACTTTTTAATACGTTTTGGTCTGAATTCACTTTTCAGTTCATAAATTTAAATTGCGAAGTACAAACTGTTTCGATCCGTATGATAAGCTGAAAGTACTACATGCCTACTCGTTGTAGTTTATGCTTGATTTCTCGTTCTTGATATGGAAAGGGAAAATGACTTTAATGGACTACAGCTTACGTCGTTGTTATAAACTGAATGACACTAATGACAGCAAAGAGAGAAGACAGAATTACTAAAATTGTTTAATGTTTTAACCTAGTCACTATTCATTAGTCATGGACAGCTAAATAAATAAGACATTATTTAGCAAGAACAGACGTCTTTGTACAAAATAATATTGTGGACGTAGACCTATCTTACTTAGTCGCGGAGGACTTAACGGGTTACCGGGGCTCCGGCTCGAAGGGCAGGAGTAGGAACGGGGTGGTTTTTAGTCAGTGGGAGTCTGACACTCCCTCCCGCCTCAGCCCGGCGGGAGAAGTCATTCGATGATTTTCCCACCTTAAAAAACAAGACCTATCTTATTTATCGTTATTATAATTGCGAAAGTTTATGTTTGTATGTATGTTTGATACTCTATCATGCCAAAAAGGTTGAAGGGATCGGCATGAAATTTTCAACAAGGCTAGATATTCGTCTGGAATAATACATACATAGGTTACTTTTATCTCACGGGACCCCGCGTGGAGCCATTGGCAGAGGCTAGTAGAAAACTTAAATTCAGTTAACCAGTCAACAAATACAACTTTGAATCACATCGAAAACAAAGATACACGATTACTTGGACAAAAGTAAAGGTGATGTTGGTGATAGCATTGGTTTCCTGAATACATTTCTCTTGACGCCACATAAACATGTGCATGCAACATTGGATTCGCTTAAAATTCTCGTTGCGTAACCACCTTTTGCTAGGTACGCTGTAACTGTTACTCACCATAATATCTAGCTGTTACTTTGTTACTTATTGGCATTGACTCTGAATTATTACACGTAGCCTTTATTTGCAACCAAAGACAAAATTGCTTTTTCTTTAAAAAATCGCTGAACGTTGTTAAAGTATTTCTTGTCCTGTCACCAATTTACATAGTCCCGTGACCTTATAAACTATAATTGATCTATGCTTTTCTCTCAAAATTCTCTTGTCTGCATATTACTTGATAAGACAAATGCGTAATACGTGAATCGTACATGATAAAAAATAAATGCGAAGTTCTTGATAAACTTCAATGAACGAACTTTAAACTTGAAACGCAACTGACATTGATTTATAAACCGTTTTTAATGATTCGCCATTTTGTGTTGATAAACAATACTTTTAAAGCAGTTATCGTAAAATACACAATTTTGTTACTAAATGCATTAATATTATTTTTTTAACGGTGCGATTTGATCGATTGTTTTGTAGTCATTTACTCGCTTATTCATACTATATTACAGTTGCAAAAGATAATTTACTGGGGCCTAATCAATTAGTATCTCTTTGTATTTACGTACAAAGAACCATTTTTTCTTCAAGCGCACTCCGAATTACCAAATCCGTAGGCACTAAAGGCCATCAGTAGTCTTCAATCCTTGTCCGTAAAAGGCTTATGAAAAAGTTTTCAACCCACTTGGAGTTGCACAACATTATTACCTTGACATCAAGCTGAAGGATATTAAGCAGTAACAATCGCAATTAATTTGTACATACACCGAAAATCGGTGAAGATTCCTATACTACTGGTTCTTGCCTCAAATTGGGCCAAGGTTATTAAGGTTTTTGTACTTGTATCCGAACAAATCGCTTGTCAATTTTAATGGTGAAGTATAATGAAGTGGTTTTATGTTAATGATGATAATATGACCTCTGGTTTATGGAGATGTCACGGTGTTCATTCGTTCAGTTGCTCTGTAAATCTGGACTGGAAAGTTACTGCGAAATGGATTCTATTATTAATTTTATTAATCAGTGATAAACTAGATTATTGCAATGATAAAGATAACTTATTTCCATTGTTATTTTTATTTTTATCGCTGTAATCACACGGCCTTCGAATGGCGTGTTGTTTGGCGTGATTTATTAAAGAAATTATGATAGGATTGTACTAAACCTACAACTGTATTTTTATTTTTCTGCATAAAATGAATATAAAGCAACAGTATTTTACTATTAATACGTCTTCGTCACTCATACGCTACAATCCTTACAGGCCAATAGAAAACATTACATCCGAAATATTTTATTCATTGCCATGGCATTTACAAAGAAATCTTCAACAGTCGTTTGAATGACCTGCAAGATGCTTACATAATATATTTAAATGACCGATAACGCATCAGCATATCTAATTCTGAACTTCAAAATATAACCTCGCTGCAATTAAATGGGCTTAATTTATAATATTTGAATACTGGTTCTTATTGTATAATGCTGGTTCATTTCCATGATAAACATGTAGTTTGCAAGCCAAGGTCTTTTTCAAGCACTGAATAGTAGTATTTTCATTGCAATCTGTTCTTGGAAATATAATTTTAATTAGGTTCTAACTATTTTGAAACATCACATTAATAAAGCCTTAAAATATTTTGCAATACGTTTCGTTACAATTGCCAACCGGCTCTTAGATACCTAGTACTGCGGTTCCATAAATATTACAATGTTTACCTTTGATATATAGCATACATTAGAAAGGTTGAAAGAGACTGTTTTCACAGTTGAATCGCCAACAATGCTGATGTTAGTTAAGCAGGAAAGTAAAATGACATGGCCACGAACAATAGTGGCTATTGTTATCCAGTTCTCAGACACCATGACCATCCATCGTCTTGTAAACTATGCATAATTAGAGTGAAAAGCTATCGTGATTACATTTTCCTTTGTCCTTTGTTTTTTTTTTTCGTGTTATAAAGCCATTATTTTGGAACCTAGGGAACTGCAACAAAATTGGCACCCGAGCTCCTAGACTATAATTGATAATGATGTCGACTAAGCGTCGGTTATTGCCAAATATCAACGCGTAGTTGTTTGTTTATGCCAATTTGATACACTTAAAGAAAGCAAAAGTATATATTACGAAACGAGGCTTAAGTAATCTGTGGTTATTTAAAATATTGTTAGTGTATAATTTGAGCAGAGTGGTTGCACAATATCTTGTGTCCTGCTACAGTGGCGCCAATTTGTGTACACACAATACTGCAATGCTAAATGTCTAGCTTTAGGTGTACCTAGTAAATGCTAAGAGCTTTGGTTACATCATTTCAATCCTTCGTTTTTCCTCAAGAAACGCTCTTACACACAAAGATGATCCTTCAGTTTCTCGAAGAACTTTTTTGTTTTTTAATCGAAACAAGTTTGTTTTTATTAATTAGCATTTTAATGTCGATTATATTACGATATTCGGATTTTTGGGTTACGCATCGAATGCATAATAGTCGAAATTATCACGCAAATTGCAAATTAAAAATATATCTAAGTATATGTTTAAAATCTGCATTGGTCCTGTAATAACTGAAAATACTAGAACAAAAGCGTTGTGAATAAGTTTTATCTAAGTAGTCATCAATTTATTAGCACTGTCTTAGCATTGAATGAAGTCAAACATTGCGTTTACATACAGTATTGAATGTCAAGTTCAATGGGAAGGAAAATCTTCGAATAATTTCAATAAAACTAACATAAGTCAATGCATTTATTCAAAATTTAACTTTGTATAATCACCTTGAATATGCAAAAACCCGAATGACCGATCTACCGGTTCTGTGACCTTGCGTGTTTAAAATGTAAGTGATTTTATGTTTTCTAGACATAAATAATTTACTTTTATGTTACTGGTTTTGTTTTGAATAAAATTATAGGTTGTTATGCCTACTCCGGGGCGTCCAGTATCACTGTTCGCCAGTCAGTCAGTCAGTCGTAGGTGATAGTTATGAAATATCTCAATTATTTAATCGAGATTCCAATTAGTTGCACATGCCTTTGTCGTGTCGTCGTTAGTAAAATATTTAATTAAAATAATTGTATGTACGTGGTAACAGATTGCTTATCGGAATAACCAATCTTTTTATCAGGGGAGAGACGGGGAAAGTATCATCGTCGATTATTTTACATAAAACAAAAATGTGTAACAACTTTATGATTGTGTGAAAGTTAAAATTACCAAGTAACAAAGATTTTGCAATTTCTAGATTTCATTTTGTAAAAAGTGTACGTGAATTGAAGACAAAAATGCATTTGCAATTCTCATCTTTCTCGAGTGTTTGAATCTACTTATTGTAAATAAAAAAGTATGGTAATTCGTAGACTCTAAGTATTTAACTTCGCAAATGTTAAATATTAAATCTATTAGCATAATAAAATTATTAATACAAGAAATCACAAGACCTCTTACTTAAATCGCGGCAGCGACCTCTAAAGCAGTCAAAGTCAGTTAGATAATGTTTTTTTCATTGTCAACAGGTGCTCAACAATGTCGTACTTTACGACGGACGTGCCCTCGAGAGTTCAGCACTTGCTCGGTGCTGTGCAAGAGCCCCACCGAGCAACCACCCGGACCACCACACTCACACCCTCCAAAGGAAGCTGCTAATGCAGGTGAGAGGTCCCCATAAGACATATCTTCAAGAATGGAGCGTTTTCCTTGTTAAAAATTCATAAAAAATATGATTGTCTAAATATGCGTTGAAGTTGCCATATAAATATATATTTTTGATATTGATAAATTCACGACATTGATGCTGCCTATTAGATATCACAATCATTACTTTCATATATCCACTAGCCAGTCACCTAGCGCTCTTTAGGCTGAGTTCTTTGATTGACTATAGTCAGCCTTGAGCTTATTAGTGCACAAAAGGTCACTTATAATAATGCAAGCCTAATGTAAAAGCCTGTATCAAGTATCTAGTTACCTACCTGAAGGTCGTTTTCAGTCATTAATTAAAGGAAATGGGCTCTTTGCAACGCCTAAAATTGCTAGACTATCTCATTAGATGTCGAGGCGATTGCACGCTAAATTATTTATTCTCTGTGTACTTATAGTTCATTGCCATGTAGGTAATGTTTTATGCAACAGCATTTAGTTAAATTACATGTTTGTTTTGTTAACTTTATATAAATTTTGTCATTATTTTGTTAGTGACAAGAGTAATTCCGTGTAGTACTTACGGCAGTGAGGTTGTTGGAGAAAGCTGTGAAGCTACACTACTATTCGTAGTTCTATTACTTATTCCGTACTTTCGGCTCGCATCTCTAACTTTCGCTGAAATTACTGCAGCTATAAATCACAATTTTCTTCATGCAATATCTTTCTCTTCAGGTTCATCATCAGGTGGCAAAAAGTCAGGGTCTGGTAACAACAATGGAGTCCTCACGTGCCCAAAGTGCGGCGACCCCTGCACCCACGTCGAGACCTTCGTCAGCTCCACACGGTTCGTCAAGTGTGATAAGTGCCACCACTTCTTCGTGGTGCTCAGTGAGGTTGACACTAAGAAGAGCATTAAAGATAATGCGGATAATAAGTCTGGATTCTACAGGTGAGCTAAATTAATTTGAACTCTAAACACGTAGATAAGTAAGCCTAAAACAGTTCGTAAGTTATGTAAGAAAACTTCAAAATAGTATTTTTAGCACCTGTAGAGAACAGGTTAGACGTTATTACAATGACTTAGTATAATAATTATTAAGTTATTTTCATAAAAGTCTTACCTAATATGAAAATAATAGTGAAGGAAAACCAAGCAATAAAACCAACTAAACATTCACAATACCGATTTGTTATTATTTAAACATAACGGTTGCGTAATGTGTTGCCAGGTGATAAATTATAACTTAATTTATTGATGATTTGTGTCAATTGACTTTTGTTGACACGTAATTTCGACGAACTTTATTTATTTTAGCTTACTTTAATACTAGTATTCAAAAATCGTACAGTAGCTACGCACCTAATATAAATCATAGACCAATCACATAATAAGATCAAAAATTGCAATTAAATCTCTGTTCAAACAGGTTCTGTCAAAATTAAACTGACATTTCCTAATTATGAGATCTAATCTATTTAGAGATTTCACAAGTATATTTCGCTAGTACTCTCAGTCATAAGACTCATAACTTGTCCGTCATAATGATGGCAGTGTGCTTAACACGTCCGAATTTGCACAAAATACGGTTTCCTGTATCCTGTCGTGGTTTGCTGCCAAATTAGATTGTCTTAAGTTACGATGATAGTTCGTTTTTTAAGCTGTTTTGTTAATGATTACGTTTTTGTATCACGTAAAGTTAGAGATAATTAATAAAGTGAAATTGAGGAAATATAGGTAGGTACCTACGATGTGTTTGATTTCCTTCCCAATACAAAAAGTAAAAGGGCGGAAAGATTTTGTCAGTGTCACTCGATTTCCTGTCGGATTCTTTACCTTCATTAAGCATGTTGAGTTGATATAATTTATAACCAAGTTTTAAAATTTAAGAAATCGCAGTCAAACAATGTGCAATACTTTCAAGAATCTTGAATACACTTAGTTTCAATGGTCTGTCGAACACAACACGTTCTAAAAAATTTGGATTCTCATCAAAATCAGACAATCAGATTCGTCCGCCCGCCGCATAAACAACGATCATAAAAATTGCCAGAACACACACAAAGGTGTGAAATACATATGAATAATGTATACAGTGTTCGGGCAACAATGACCAAGCAATAAACTCATCTATCTTACTTTTACATCGGAACACTTAATATTGTGCTAGGGTTGTTGAACTAAAGAGTCACACTGGTGTGTCAATTTGGCTGAAAATGCGTCCGTACAAAATTGCAGTAATCACATCCGTGTAAAGATATTTATACTGTAGTGGTACAACATTCAGTCGCTTAATGACAGCTTATCAGCCATGAAGCTGTTGGCTACTATAATAATCGGGTTATCTATAATCAACAATGTCGTTGATTCATACATGATTACTTGATTACACGGTTAACGAAAGGGACACAAAGATAACCAAACATTGATCCATTTTATATATATATAGTTCAATTCATAAAATGAGTGCGAAATTTGTCATAAACACATATTAATGGTGAGGCGAAAATACTGCTGTAAATAACGAAATAAATAAATCACTATTTTTAGGTGCCTTATTTTGCATAAGACATATGTGAAATGTTATTATTTCTCATCAGCCCTAAATAAATACCCATACCATGGTTCATTGAACGTCTCCACTTATCAGACGCATGAAAACGAAGGTTTCCGAAACAAATAGTAGCGATACGCATGTTTTATTAAAAAGGTTGTTGCTCTCAATCTTTTTAAGGAAAATTTAAATCTTAAGGAAATTGTATGTTAAATTATGTATCACAGACGTGACACTTGTTCCATTTTACCTCAGTTTACCGTATTTTGTTTCTGAAGGGCCAAAGGTTCACATTTTTAGCTTTGATGTTTCTAGCGTTATAGATAATTTTCACAAACTAAAACGTGTTAGATTCTGCAAAATACAATACATCAAACATACGTATAACCATATTGACGCTCAGTATTTTCCGTAGCCAAAGATTCAAAGTCACATTGAGTTGAATAAATAGCAATTTTTCACTTAAATCCCAACGTGAAGCCATCGACCCGACGACATTGAAATCACGCTTTTATTGCTAGTTTCATTAGAACACAAAATTTATTTTGCGTCGTTTGTTTTTATCCATAGAGATATGCTATAGCCACATCATTTTTAAGACATAGCTCAAATTATAATTAAGTAGTGACTTTTTCCTTAACACTTAATGTAATACTTGTAATTTTGATTATGTATTCAACTGGTACGTTGTTTGAATTTATAACAGCACTTCGAAAGAATCGCATTAGGTTGCAAAGTGGGATTACCCAGGGTACGATTTTGGGACCAACTTTTAATTACGGTTTGTTTCCAAGACCCATAGTATTCCGATTCTACATAAAAATTACTGAATTCTCATGTAAATTTTCCTATTATAAGATCATTATGTAAATGTTGATACGTAATAGTGTATGTAAACACTGTTTTAATATGTTTATCTGTAGTTGCCAGACAGCCTTACGGTCGCATTTTCATATCTTTCTTTATCTTGCCCCTATCGCAATTTAATCTGCGGTAAAACAAAACAAAATGCAATTAAGTAAGTTGATTTAGTTTCAAGGTATATAAAAATAGTTTTCCGACACGTTCAGTACATTATTTTAATGATTTACAGGTTAGCATAATATCAACCGATAAAATATATTTATTTACTGCGGCCGATGACTCATAAATCATATCCTCATTATTTACTTGAAGTTTAAAGATTTTTTATACAATAAATCTGTATCGTTTATGGAAATCAGTCATGATTTCCTTGTCACTCGCTTTCCAAGTTGTCTTGTTTCACAAAAGGCCGTTAACTGAGACGGAAGGTATGAACGTTCGTGTGTCATGTTAAAAGGATTAAACTTTCACTCGTACTCTTTAATAATGTAGGGCCGCGGTATCCTTGTCGGTGAACCCGTAAAATGGCGGATGAGCTTTATACTTTTTGTGGTTTTCTTTGAATTACGTGCATCTCGTCTCATACATATTTATGCGTTCACTTTCTGATGAAAAAAACACGAAAGAGTATGTATAAATGTAAGTTTTCCCCAAAAACTTGGAATCAGTTGATTTCGTTGTATTGATTTTGTTTTGGAGTGATCACAAAGCACGTGTGTCGAGGTATTTGTCACCTACTGAGGATTTCTAAATTGAAAAACCCAATAAGTAATATTTGGACTGACTGGATTTTACCCCAGTTGACTTATTTCTCGGGAACCATACGTTTTCTTGGCGTAGAATGATAAGCAGCAAGCCCTATACTCTATTTATTTATGGCTATAATTCTATGCAGATCCGTTACCGTTAGGCTGCTTTTTATTGCGGAACAAATCTGGCATAATAATAAACCTCTTGACTGCCTCGTTGGTCGAGTGGGCGCAAGTGCGACTGCTGGTCAAGAGGTCTCGGGTTCGATTCCCGGGTCGGCCAAAGTATTACTGGGTTTTTAAAAATCTCAGTAGTAGCACGGAGCCTGGAAATGTGCCCGGTATATGGCAATAGGCTCACCCCCTATTACATGGGAGCTATAACATAAATAGTGAAAAGTGGGTGTTACATTCTACAGTGACATTTAGTGCCGTAATGTGCACCTCTGCCTACCTCTCCGGGGATAAAAGGCGTGATGTTATGTTATGTAATAAACTCCTCATTTCTTTGTTCACACAGAAAACCTCCGCCACCTCCTAAGAAAATCTTCGAATACCTAAACAAACACGTTGTGGGTCAGGAGTACGCTAAGAAGGTGCTGTCTGTGGCTGTGTACAACCACTACAAGAGGATCTACAACAACGTGACCAGCGTCACGCCGGCAGATGCTCACCATCCCTTACATCATACGCACAGAGGTAAGAAACATCGTCACCACCACCATCATATCAGCCATAGGACGTCCACAGTTAAACATAGTCCTCCCCTAAAAGCAACACTATATATTTTGAACTAGCTTTTACCCGCGGCTTCGCTCGCGTCACAAAAGGATAAAAAGCCAATGTGACCTATACCAATACTTTTGTTTTCCCTCGGGAATATCAATTTTTTCCGGGATAAAAAGTACCCTATTATTTAATCCGGACTTCTAGCTATACATCTGTAAAAATTCAAAGCAATCGGTTTAGTAGTTACGGCGTTAAAGTGGAACAAACAAACAAACTCACTTTCCGATTTATAATATAAGTAAGGAAGTAAGGATGAGCATTTGGCAAAAGGCAGCCTTCAGCTTGTTCCATGTGTATAGCTATGCAGACGATCTTCCCGGCCTATTGTAGTTTCATTACCGTAATAGGTACGGTGAATATTGTATTAATATGTTTATCCTATAGGTCTTTATGTGTGTAGTATACATATTACATTAATGTTTTTTTATTGTGTTCTGGCTTCGCATCAACCACTTCATTTCTCTTCACTTCCCTATGGTTGACTGTAAGAGAATGCCTTAAGGCATTAAGTCCGCCATTCACTGTTATATTTTATGAAGAAGAAAGAAATAAATAAATAAATATTGAATTGTAGCCTATGCTAGATATTTTAAACTGTCAAACACCAAGCGGTCACCGGTGACCGCGACCTATTGTTCTTTAATTGTGTCTATAAAACCGGTACTCGACGAGTTAACTAAAGACAGGTGAATGCAGTCTAAAATATTACGAGTAGAGGTTGACCGTATATGCAATTTATAATAATTAAAATCACTTTATGCATAAATATTCTTATCAAAAACCTTGATATTTTTGAATAACCTATAAAATATTATTCATATTACAGCAAGGCCTTATTGCCAATTAATACGCCTTTCTCACTATCATATTTTATTTTGCATTGACTCGTGACAATTGTAATGGCATAAGTAAATAATATCGTAATTAAACTACTTTTACAAAAGTACGATTATTATTATGATAAATCGTAACGAGGCAATTATTTTGGTAATTTACACAACAAGTACATAATACTACTTAATTATTACACGTTTGTTATATGTTTATTATTTGGTCATAGACAGGTATTTTAACCTACATTTCGAAATAGAATTTATTGAAATCTGTCACTAAACCACAGACAACAAAGACATTTTGATTTTAACAATTTTTCACGACTCCAATTTTCGAAACAAAAAAAGTTGGAAAGTACATAATGCTTCATTTAGACTAGATCGCCGTAAAGCGTCGCGAGCGCAAGTGCTTTTCACTGAAAACAATTGTCAATAGTTTACGTGAAAGTGTGACGAATGTTCTAAAGATGTTGTCATTACGCTTCAGTGAGCAGGTGACCTTACGACAGATTTTTTCTTAGAGCAATCTATGCCTTATTCGTTAGTGTTTTCACGCTTCCGATTTCGCTTTGTTGAATCTGTTTGGTTTTAAAAAACGTTCCCATTGTTGCTGTCACAAATGTATCTGCTACTAAAGAAAAATGTCGAAAAATATAGGTTGGTTTACCTAAGTTTTGTTAATACTCATAAACTACTCTAAAGTCAAAGCATTTATTTCAATTAAACCATAATTTAATACTTTTGAAACGTCAACAAATACAATAAAAATAATAGTCTGTCAGTCAGTCCTAGAGTGCAACTAGGTGCTCATTCCAAAATGTAGATTCGTGAAAGAAACTCCATTCGTTACTCTTTTTAAAAAAGTATGTTCTTCAATGTCTCTGATACATATTCCAATACTGTACGCATATGCAAGAACAATTCAAAGACACGCTTGACGCATTATACTACTTACAAAGCTTACTAAAATAAAAATCCAAACCAAAAAAATCTTATAGTCTAACATGGTGCTCACATATGCATACTGACAATCCACATACATCCTGTCAATAATGTACTCACGATTTTGCTATTTATTTATATCGTTAATTATTATTATTTGCGGATGATGTTATATTTATGTATTACTCACTATTTAAATTAACCGAATAATAGCTATTCAACAGTAAACATAAAAATTTTTCACTACAAAACACTGATGTACGCTTGCGCAATCGTCGATTTAGTACATTTTTGTAATATGGCAACTTTGCACAAGGTATTGCACAAATGGTAACATCTGTGACGAATCAATGACCGATGCATCAATTAATGCACCTAGGTAATAACTGCCGCAATTCTATCGCCTGGATTATGAAGCATGAAGTCTAGTCTAGGTTTATGTCCGATACTAGTAGGTGGCACTAAAATGTAAATTGGCAATAAGACTATCCTTTGTTGGGAAACAATCGCGATGATAGTATATTATGTCGGTATAATTGTTTAAGAGTAATAATGCAAAAGTAAAATTGTTTTTGTCAAAGTTAAAGCATTTATTTCAATTAAACCATAATTTTGATACTTTTGTAACGTCAACAAATACAAAATAAATAATAGTATGTCAGTCAGTCCGTCAGTGAAGCTAGGTGAAGCTAGGTGCTCATTCCAAAATGTAGATTCGAATGGAGAAGAACGAGCAGCAAGAACCTCCATTTGTTACTCTTTTTAAAAAAGTATGTTCTGCAATGTCTGCTGTATTCGTTTTGAAAAAAACGGTTTTCAATAAAAAAATTATTATTAAAAAAACAAAATACCCGACTGCACACTAAAAAAAGAGTAAAACAAGCCCCACAATAATATTGATCAATCAAATGCTAAAAACTAATTATGTAATACCGTTTAAACAATACCTATATTAAAATACACTACAATATGTGTTCGTAATCGATAGTTAAATAAACAGAAACTTATTTTGAATACAAATTTACTGAATATAATTTATAAATGTTGATGGAAAGCATCGCAGGCGGGGACCAACAGAGGCTTATTTATAGTCATTTCGGTTGTGCACCATTTAGCAGAATTTTCGTTGGTGGCGGTCAAGGTGGTCCCCGCCTGCGATGCTTTCCATCAACATTTATAAATTATATTCAGTAAATTTGTATTCAAAATAAGTTTCTGTTTATTTAACTATCGATTACGAACACATATTGTAGTGTATTTTAATATAGGTATTGTTTAAACGGTATTACATAATTAGTTTTTAGCATTTGATTGATCAATATATTGTGGGGCTTGTTTTACTCTTTTTTAGTGTGCAGTCGGGTATTTTGTTTTTTTAATAATAATTTTTTTTTTATAACTTTTTAGCTGTTTTTATTTAACGAAAATGTTGTAGATGTAGAAGACTATCGTCAACGACGTGTGCCCTCATGCGTGTGCCCGCAATCGGGCTGTATACTCGAGCATATCCCCCTCCGCACCGCGCCGCGCGCCGCATGCCAGGCCACGCCCTATCTTTTTGCTTGCTAACGCATGAGTTGCTTTGCGTTGACGCAGAATTAACATGTTCCCGTGGGAATTTTGAGAAAAAACGTATCCTATATTAATTACTCCCGTGATTGAAATGAATCTAATGATACCGCATACATATTTTTTTAAAGGGAAATTTAGAAAAAATATTATTATGTCTTTATCCCGTGGGACTTTTAGGATAAAATGTATCCTATGACACTCCCGTAATCAAGACAAATCTAACGATACCTCATACATCAAAATCCATCAAGCCGTTTAGGCTACAGGTGGTCACAAAGGAAAAGACATACATACATACTTACATACACTCGAAAAACATTACCCTCCTTCTTTGGCAGTCGGGTAAAAAGACTCATTATTTTCGCTTCCTTATTACATAGGATTTATATCAATAATGTTTGAAAAAAATTGATACTTGTCACAATTAACATCTGCACTTTGCAGTATGAAACTCTATTTATTGGGGCAACATAGGCTATAATTTGTTTTGAGAAATTGAATAAAAAAAATTCTATCCAAAAATCAAAATTCTACTCGGTCAAATTTGCGCAAGTAAAATGACAAAAATTAACAAAATAAGGTTTTCAGATACTTTATTTGGTATTCGGTAAGTAATGAATGATTCACTAAATATCTTCATCTGTATACAATTTAAGAGAACGACAATTTTTTAAAACAATGAAATAAGTTTTACATTTAGTCTGGAAACTCAATATTGAGTGAAATGGGGGTCGAAGTTTTTAGGTAGTAGTACTACTACATATGACTTATATTATAGGTTTAGTAGTCCACGCGAGCAAAGCCGCGGGTAAAAGCTAGTTTTAAAAAAAAAGGTTTTTAGCGTTCGTGTGTCATTTATTTGAACAGTTTTACAGGCAGGAATATAGAGGTCACCTTATAAATAAAAAGGTCGTAAAATGTAGGTATTCAGGCGACTATACTCAAATAATTATAAAAACTGAATGTTTATTGAAAGTATGTTTACTGTTCTACGATGCCGTAAGAAGTACCAAAACTAGTAATGTTCTGTCATCAATTAATATCAATTTGAGTCCTTCTGCTAATCAAACTTACTTACCTGAATATCCTAATTTCAACTGTATACAATCTTCTATCATTTACCTACTATTTTTTGTAAATAAGGAATTTAATGACTCTTAATAACAGCTAAACGATTGCCTCTTTGGCCGAGTGGTCTCAAGTGCGACTGCCGGGCAAGAGGCCTCGGGGTTCTTTAATAAATTCTCAGTAGTAGCATAGAGCCTAGATATGTGCCCGGTATATGGCAATAATCTCACCCCCTATTACATGGGACTCATAACATAAAAAGTGAAAAGTGGGTGCTACATTGTACGGTGGCATTAAGCCGTAATGCGCACCTCTGCCTAACCCTTCGAGGATAAAAGGCGTGATGATGTTGTTATAATATTTCTATTAAACTGTCAAACACCGCGAGGACACCGGTGACCGCAACTTATTGTTCTTTAATTGTTTCTATAATGACGGTACTCAAAGGGTTAAACTGTCAAACACCGCGAGGACACCGGTGTCCGCACACCTATTGTTCTTTAATTGTGTATAATGACGGTACTCACAGGGTTAATAAGTGTGTTGCAAAATGTTCCAGATCTCCTCCACTTAAGCCACGGCACCAACAGCGGCGGCGCCGAGGTGCTCGAGCGACAGCACCACGAGCTGCGCCTCGACAAGAGCAACGTGCTGCTCCTGGGGCCCACTGGATGCGGTCAGTGACCACTACTTCTACCTCCAATTCATTTCAATTTAGATACTACACATTTTGAAACAGAGTTCGCGTTTTATGTAAAACTAGAGGTAAATGAAATGCTTCGTTGGCCGCGTGGTTGCTAGTGCGACTGCTGGGCAAGGGGTCTCGGGTTCGATACCCGGGTCGGGCAAAATACTACTGTGTATTTTATAAATTCTTAGTAGTAGCACGTAGTCTGGAAATGTGCCCGGTATATTGCAATAGGCTCACCCCCTATTACATGGGACTCATATAACATAAATAGTGAAAAGTGGGTGTTACATTGTACAGTGGCATAATGTACACCTCTGCCTACCCCTTCGGAGATAACATAATTTGAATGAATTTTTGTTTATACATTCAAGTGGATATGCAGGACGTCTGTTGGGTCCGCTGTATTTTATATAATACGAGTCTGTTTGCCTAAAGGCCCTCAGTAAACACAAGTAGTCATATTCAAAAACAATATCTCCCATTGAACAACATACATAACTTCACGCCTGTGTCCCAAGGGGGTAGGCAGAGACTACAGAACGTCAATTGTTAAGATTCCCACATACATCTTTCGCTTCATTAACAGTCATCAATCTGTTCATGCATGCTCGTCGGTTAACGGTACTTTTAATTGAACAATTCTCTCTTAAAACTCAATTAACTTAAACCATTCATGAATGAAGTAAGTAAACAATAAAGAAAGAATAATTTTAACTTGGACAACTCACTATACGTACATATATTAACATTAAATAAAATACATTAATTATCTCCTTGTAAAAAGTCAACAGCCACGTATGTGCTTAATAAGTGTCAATAGTCTTACCCAACAGAGGTGAATCGAATCATTGTACTATTATATAAGATGTGAATCATACGCAAATATTAATATTCTTTGTTTTACTACAGTATATATTAGTTGTTACCATGGAGATAGTGTTTCAACTTAGGTTTTTTGCATGACCTACGATTCCCCTAATATTAGTTAACCTCGCTCCACACTAGGATTTTGTCTTGTGTCGTGGGTGCGTTTACAAACATACAAGTTCACATATACAATGACATCCAGACCCAAAACAACAATTAGTGGATCAAACGAAGTGTTGTTCCGTGCGTTAATCAACCCCGCGACTCGTTGCACGGCAGACGGTTGCCTAGCCGTCGCACCAACCGTGCAGTCAGTTTATATACGTAGACTTGTTGTATTGTAGTCGGAGTTTCGTATGATGTGTTCTAGCCTCTGCCTGGGTTCTGACTTCGGCTATGGGTTATTCCAGGCCATAACCCTGTTCCAAATTTTAATCTTCTCCCTTCAGCCATTTTGATGAACGAACATACACACAAACTCACGAAACTTTTTTTATAATGTTAAGTGAGAAGTAAGACGGCATGAGATTGATGGATGTTGACGAAGCGAAATGAGTATTTGTATTATAACTTTCGTAAGACATACTAAATAAATTATTGTTTATGTTTTCGGCTTACTCACGTAATTATTTGACGAGGAACTCGACTAGTTTCAAGCCATGCTAGAGGCTCATATTCATGCAGGTCGCGAAAGGAGTATGCCCAAATCGAGTCATTTGGAGTTCTATTGTCTCTGTCTAGCTCGGTGTGAAACGAGAAAGGCGTGACGATATGTATGTGATTGTGTGTAGATAATAATATGTGCCCCTATGTATGTGGCAGATTTTTATGCAGATGTAAAAAAAAAGATAAAGTGGTGTAAAGCATAAGTTTGTGTAAAATACAAATACGTGACCTGAATGTAGGTGGCATTTAAATGTTAGTTGTCGACATGACAGCAAGATTTATCATTTAGATTTGTTTGTTGTGACATGGCGAATGAACACGCCATCTTGGGCTAGCATTATCAAGAAAGAAAAGTATAATAAATTAAGATTTAAACAGTCAAAACATTTATTAACTAAAATCGCGAGTTACTCGCGTGAATATACTGAGAAAAGCTCTACTAGTTTCAAACCTATAAGAAGTAGGCTGCGCGATATCGTCGCGACCGCGCACGCTGCTCATGAGGAAGAGTCCCTCTGTGGTTTGAAAGTAGTAGAGCTTTTCTCAGTATATTCACGTGAGTAACCCGCAATTTTAGTTAATTTAGTATGTCTCACGATAGTTATTATAAAAACATAGTCAAAGCATTTATTTCAATTAAACCATAATTTTGGTACTTTTGAAACGACAACTAATACAAAATAGGTCAGTATGTCCGTCAGTTAAGCTAAGTGCTCATTCGAAAATGTAGATTCGAATGGAAAAGTTCGAGCAAAAAACCCCATTCGTTACTCTCAATTTAGAAAAATTAGAATTTTAAGCAAGTCAGATATATGCAAGATTTGTAACAGTAAGTGGAGCTGTTTAGTTCAGCATATTCCTACTAGGCAAAGGCTTTAGTGTGTGTATATATGTATTAAGATATTAAACAGATCAAACAATGAGTCAGGTATGACGCACTCCAGTCCCTCGATAAGCCAATATTTGTACAACACTCGCGTTACCAAAATTGAGAATAAATTCAAACAAAAATATACCTTGTCATTGCTTGCACTATGTGATTGTATTGGGTGTGTTCGAAGGTGCTGTAATATTGAGATGTAATTGATTTTGGTGAGATAATGTTATTATAATTGAATAAGGTGTTTCCCCGAAAATGAGATACCTATACAAAAGGGGAAGGGAAGTCTTGGCAGTTTACTGAAATACAATGTTTAAGTATTTAGGATGGCGATTTGAAATAACGTGATTTCTATCTACCCCTAGAGAGGATAGGAGACCTTCTTTTAAAAAATATGCTATTTAATATTAAGGACATAAAAATGAAAACAAATAAAAATTAACTAAAATCGCGGGTTACTCACGTGAATATACTGAGAAAAGCTCTACTAGTTTCGAACCACAGAGGAGTTCTTCCTCATGAGCAGCGTGCGCGGTTCCGGCGACGTCCTAGTGAGCTGCGCGACGATTTTAGTTAATTTAGTATGTCTCACGATAGTTATTATAAAAATAAACAAAAATTGTTACTTCATAAGTATGATGTGAATTCACTTGACCTTAAAAAACTTGATCGAAGACACCATTCAACAACAAATTAAGGGTCTAGACATGTTAATAACTCATTATTATTATTAATACCTTCTTCATATAAAGTAATCCAAGGCCAACATTTCAACATTTTACTCTTTAATTCCTTACCGAGTCGCTCGTGGGTGGGATGACCATAAACACGAGATCTGAATGCTAAACGATCAAAACTGTTTCGTATGCTGAGAGCATAAAGTGCAAATTAAAGGATTCTCATTAACTGCAGTACGATGTTTTGTTGCAAAAGTATTAAGTGTTTATGTCATCTAGGTATCATTTTGTAATACTTACTAACTACTTATCCTATAGTCGGAATGTTTTCTAGTCCTGTAGGGTGTCGCGGAGAACCTAACGGGTAACCGGGGCTCCGGCTCGATGTGCAGGAGAAGGAACGGGGTGGTTTTTAGTCAGTAAGAGTCTGATACTCCCTCCCGCCTCACCCAGGCGGGAGCAGTCATTCGATGATTTTCCCCCCTTAAAAAAAAGTCCTGCAGGGTTGTTTCAAACCTGGGATTATAGATGTTTTAGCATTCTTTTACGCTAAAATAAAATATGGGGTGCTTCAAGAAGGGAGTGAATAGGTATTTTTATGGGTCGGCAAAGCACATGTAATGCCCCGAGTGTTACATGAGTTCATAGGCCACAGTAACCACTTAACATCAAGTGGGCCGTGTGCATATAATTATGCCACCGTGGTATATAAAAATTTATATATCTAAACTACAAATTGTTACTGTCCGATTTTAAAATAGGAAATAATATATCTAGAAAGTCTCTAAAACTGATGAGCATATTAGGATATTAGAATTAAGTATTTGGTAATAGACAGCGTTTTGTTCTTCATTGACAAATGCTTGGCATTGATTAGCAGATTCTGGCAAGACTGATTTTATGCAACGAGTATGCAATATTTTAATTAAGACTAGCTAGCATTCTCACTGATTCTTTACACTCTTGTTTACTTTAGTACTATAAATGTTTTATTATTATTCCCTAATCTTTACTATCTGCAATTTATCATTCTCAATCTTATAAGGTCAAATCACCTAAGAAGCATTTTGTCTTGAAATTACTTCTACCCTGAACCCTGGCAGTTGGCCAAGAAAACGAGACATACAAACACAATTTAGCACAAAAGGGTTCTTACGTAATAACAAATGAGTAACCACAGAGTGCAACAATTTCATAACAAAATCTTAACAATGAACAAACTCCTTACATTATTCCACGCACGCGCACCCTGCCGCAATTACAAACAAATAATGAGCTTTCTGTATGACCAGCCAGTGTTGCCTGTTTAAAAAACTATTTTTGTAAAATGTTGAGCAATTTCTTTTTTTTTTTTGTTTTAATTTATATTTGGAATACGAATGCACTCGTTGCTTTAATTTGCATATTTTTATTTATTTTTGTACAAAATGTAAAAGTTAACGTTTTCGTTCGTTTCCTTATCTGGAGCCATGGCATTGGAATCTTAAATTAAGTTCATTTTTATATAAGGTGTTCAACTGTTCATTGTAAATTAAAAGAACTGTTACTGTGAACTGAAAAAGTTGTTAGCATTGTATTTTTCGCCGAAATGCTTTATTCAGATAATAAATTGTGACTGTATTTTTTTAGTTTATCGACCGACTGACTAAAATCAATGTATTTTGTTATTGGTTCCAGGTAAAACTCTATTAGCACAAACGATAGCGCAATGCCTGGACGTGCCGTTCGCGATTTGCGACTGTACGACGCTCACACAGGCTGGGTACGTCGGCGAGGACATCGAGAGTGTCATCGCCAAACTATTGCAGGACGCCAACTTCAAGTGAGTTACAAACATACATACCTATAAAGTAGAAAGATTTTTAACTTTAAAACTGCGGTGTTATTTCCACCGCAGTTTTAACGCTTTTGGTTTTGGAACTAAACGTCTGCCACTAAGGTACCATTGCAGACATTTTTTTTATGGGCGAAAATCATCCAATTTCTTCTCCCGCCTGGGCGAGGCGGGAGGGAGTATCAGACTCTTACTGACTAAAAACCACCCCGTTCCGACTCCTGCACTTCGAGCCGGAGCCCCGGTAACCCGTTAAGTCCTTCGCGTATTGGCATCAGCCCTACTGGGCCCCATCCGTGGTGGTCTGATGGCTCTTTGAGACGCGCGCGGGACGCTCGGCGCCGTACGCTCGGGTCTGGTTCTGGTCGGGCGGCGAGCTACTCATGCTCGCCGTCCGCAGGCCCGTGCTTACCATCTCGCGATCTCTTACGCCCGGAGTGTCCATTGCAGGCATAAGTTTATAATTATCTTGTTAAAGTTTGTGTTATTATTCTGTTAAAGTTAAGTCTCTGTAAATCTTGTACTTGAGTTACGAACGAAATTTTCCCTTGTTACAGCGTGGAGCGAGCACAGACGGGTATCGTGTTCTTAGACGAGGTGGACAAAATCGGTGCAGTGCCGGGTATACACCAACTTAGAGATGTTGGAGGTGAGCAAACGATGATTTTTTTTATCACTATAAGCAATACATCGTTGAGTAGTCGCTGTTGTTACTGATACGGTTTCATTGCTGTATATAGTACCCAGGTATAAATCATTGGCCGAGTGGTCGCAAGTGCGACTGCCGGGCAAGGGGTCTCGGGTTCGATTCCCGGGTCGGGCAAGTAACTGGGTTTGAAAAAAATCTCAGTATAAGCACGGAGTTGGAATTGTGCCCGGTATATGGTAATAGGCTCACCCCCTATTACATCGGACTCCTAACATAAATAGTGAAAAGTGGGTGTTACATTGTAAAGCGGCATAATGTGCACATCTGCCTACCCCTCCGAGGATAAAAGGCGTGATGTTATATTATAAATCAGATGTTTGGATTACGCATTATTCGAATCTGACAAGAATATTCTTATATCTATTATATTATATCACAAATGATACCTATGAGAATAATATCTGTGTTATATTGGTGGATTAATTAATTGTAGACGGATTTATTTTACTTGGATTTGTTACAATAATGTGCGCACGACGTGTACACACACTAGATTATGACGGGTAGACAGCAACGTTAATGACGAGTGTCCTACCTTATAAAACACATTATAGTGAGGAGGCCACTACTTACTAATTAGTGATGTTGATACAGACTAAACATATATGTAACAAAACTATAGGTTTTTCTTCTTCTCCTCTTATAATATCTTCTGATTCACTTCGTTGCGGGAACCAAGACAGTTACTCATGTCCCTGGGACGCGGCGGACTTCAGTGTTCCGGTGTTTTCATGGTTGTATCTACTGTAGATCCTGGCTTACAGGAGTTGCAGCGGGTTTGGGAGGTTGTGGCGGGCTTGTCCCTTAAAAAAAAATACATGTAACAATGTGGAGGTTTTTGACGTGTTGTATTATCTACATGTGTCCAATGTGACGTCCGCAGGCGAGGGCGTGCAGCAGGGCATGCTGAAGATGCTGGAGGGCGCCGTGGTGTCGGTGCCGGAGCGGAACTCGCGCAAGCTGCGCGGGGACGCCGTGCAGGTCGACACCACCAACATACTCTTCGTGGCCAGCGGGGCCTACAACGGACTCGACAGGTCGGGACTCACACGTACCACTCGCGACGTATACGTGGACATACTCAATTGAAACATATTTGTACTAAATTAACTAAAATCTTTCTTTTCTTTTTTTTTAAAAAAACTTTGCCCCACACTAGGATTTTCTCCTGTGTTGTGGGTGCGTTTACAAACATACAAATTCACATACACAATGACACCCAGACCCGAAACAACAATTAGTGGATCACACAAAGTGTTGTCCCGTGCGGGAATCGAACCCGCGACACGTTGCACGGCAGCTGGTTGCCCAGCCACTGCACCAACCGTGCAGTCAGTCGCGGGTTACTCACGTGAATATACTGAGAACAGCTCAGAGTGCCAAGCACGAATAACTATCGCATTCGTATCGAAACAGTATCGAGCAAGTTAAATGTTCTGATTGGTTGGTTCACTTGAACCAGCCAATCAGAGCGTAGAACGCACCAGTGAGCTGCGCGACATCGCCGCGACCGCGCGCGCTGCTCATGAGGTAGAACCCCTCTGTGGTTCGAAACTAGTTTTTTTTTTTCTTATATTTTCTGCAACTTAGCAATCTGTGATCATTCACAATGAGCCATTCAGTTGTGGTCCACGTCACCAGTCTTTGGTCTTACAGTAGGAAAGTTTTGTTTTCCTCTCATAAGCTGTCGAAACTAGTACAGCTTTTCTCAGTATATTCACGTGAGTAACCCTCGATTTTAGTTAATTTAGTATGTCTCACGATAGTTATTATATTATTTGTACTATTAGATGACGCGATTATTTTTGAGTTACACTAGGGCTCATACTTCTGAATTCGTTCTTGATAACGTAGCGTAATTAAGGTTGTTAAATAAGTAGCCAACTTCTTTAATTATGTGGTTGGTGAACCGTTTGTCATATAACGTGGCGCGGGTTCGGTTCCCGCACGAAACAACTCTGTATGATTCGCAGATTATTGTTTCTGGTCTGGGTGTAATGTGTATGTGAACTTGTATGTTTGCAAATGAATCCATGACAAAGGAGACAATTCTAATGTAGGACAACGTTAAAAAAATTTCTTATGTTATTTTATAATAATATATAAATATTGTGAATACTAAAAAAAATAGACTACCACTTCTTCTAAAGACTATTGATATATTTGTAATTCACGCAAAAAGACAGCGATAGCACCTGCACTATCTTTTATTGGAATATTCACACGTATATAAGTAAAGGTGAAATGTGCGTGAATTATACATATAAACTTTCCTTAAGAATCACTCTTATCTATTTAAAAAAAAACTAATCAAAATTCGCTGCGTAGTTTTAAGCATATATTGGGACAGACAGATGGCGGATAGCTCGTTAGTTTTATAGCATGTATTGATGTAAGCGTGTGCACAGACTGGTGCAGCGTCGCAACAACGAGAAGTACCTGGGGTTCGGCGCGTGGGACCCGCGCTCGGGCCGCCGCGCCGCGCTGGCCGCCGCCGCCAGCGACGCCTCGCCGCTCGACTCCGCGCGCGCAGAGAACGACGAGCGGGACGCCTGGCTGCGGAAGGTGCAGGCCAGGGACCTCATCGACTTCGGGATGATACCGGTACCACCACTTGCTCTGTATACGCTTCATTTGTCACTAGCTTTTACCGGCGGCTTCGCTCGCGTCACAAAAGGATAAAAAGTAGCCTATGTGACATATACCAATACGTACAGCGCCATCTATACCAATACTTTTATTTTCCCTCGGGAATATCCAATTTTTTCGGGATAAAAAGTCTAAATAAAAAGATAAAAAGACTACTAACTTTACGTCTGCAAAAATTCAATGCAATCGGTTTAATAGTTACGGTGTGAAGTCGAAACAAACTCACTTTCCGATTTATAATATTAGTAAGGATATAAATGGTATGCATAACTTACTGCACACAAACCTTCATAATTAAGTAAACAAATAACTTTATTAAAGTACAGCAGGGTTATTATGCCGCTCTAAAGTCAGAATGATTCCATTGAGGGAAACAAACAGAACTATACAAGTCGTCTAGTGAGATCTCGTTCCCCCAGCGGAACCTCTCTGACTATAAGACGTCATAATACGCCACCTGTTAAACATATTTCTAAACAACTAAAAAAAGATGTTTGCGTAATTTCTCGCGATTAACTGTACCCATTTTGATGTGGTTTCACACTACAAATTCTTTGTAAAATGACAGAGATGGCACGATATTTAAGTACAACTTAAAATTAAATATATAGCCTTTCGTACATTGCAATAATGATTTTTTAAACGTAATTTATAAAAGAAACATTATTGTTTGACGTTCATAACTGCCTTTTTTGTTAATACGTCAAACAGTAAAAATATGTGTGTGCAAATGTACTCTTATTTCATTCTGTTCATCTTTATTGCAGGAATTCGTCGGAAGATTCCCCGTATTAGTACCTTTCCATAGTCTCAATCAAGATCTGCTCGTACGGATACTAAAAGAACCTAAAAATGCTATGGTGAGTTGATATGTTCTTTTATTTTACTCAATGGTCTTTGACTATGCAAGTCTATGAGTATACACTGCGAGTCGATGAGTCTCCTCTACTCATGAATGGTTTAGCATAATCCCCATGCTTGGCAAGCAAGTTGGAAGATCACAATCGAGTACTTGTCAACTAGTCAAATTCAATACTTTTTTCGAACTGTCTAAATCAACAGTTTTCTATGAATTTTAAACGAAATTGTGTATTATGACGTCACGTTTTTTTAGATCAAACAGCTTACTTATTTATTAAAAATTTGCTGAAAAGATACTACAATTAAGTTAGTCATAAATTCAATTAATCAAAGTGTGATTATTTTTTAATATTTTATTGTATTGAACAGTCGATATAATTTATTTTTGATTAAGAAAAGTACCCAATCTTAATAATCAGATAATACCTTATCGGATACCTTTCCGTCTCCGTATAATTGTAGTCTCTTAGTCGGCTCACTATCACGCCAATTATATTATTTCCAGGTATCTCAATACAAACTGCTGTTTGCGATGGACAAGTGCGAGCTGACGTTCAGTGACGAGGCGCTGAAGGCCGTCGCAGCGCTCGCCATGGAACGGAAGACTGGCGCCCGTGGTCTTAGAGCCATCATGGTACGTCATTTACCATAGTCTCTTTGTAATAAGAACTTTAATGATTACCGTGGATCATGCTAAATTAGATTATGTAAGTGAGATGTCATTGGATTAAGGCGTCTGGTCAGGCTCGAAGATAATATTCAGACAACCACGATATGCGTAATTTAACTGTTTAATCGTTATTTGTATTATAACTTTCGTGAGACATACTAAAAAAAATATTATGTTTTCGGCTTACTCACGTAATAATTTGACGAGGAACTCGACTAGTTTCAAGCCATACTAGAGGCTCATATTCATGAGCAGCATTTCGCGACCTAAGACGCGGCGACTATCGCGCTGCTACTCTGGTCGCAAGTGCAGATGCACTCGCAAGGGGTCTCGGCTTCGATTCCTGGGTAGGGCAAAGTATTACTGGTTTTTTTTTAAATCTCAGTGGTAGCACGGAGTCTGAAAATGTATCCGGTATATAACAATAGGCTCACCCCCTATAATATGACACTCATAACATAAATAGTGAAAAGTGGGTGTTACATTGTACAGTGGCATTAAATGCCGTAATGTGCAGGTGCACATTACGGCATTTCAATCATTTATCCCTGCCTATCCCTGAAGGGGTAGGCAGACCTTTGCCTGATAAAAGGCGCGATGTTATGTTATTAAATAAAGTAAACTTAAATAATGTAACACTAATTATGCAAGTAAGTATATTGACCTAAGAAGTACGTTCACGATCCCACTGTAGTCGATATTTAAATAAAGTCAATTGCATGACCCTAATTAGTAATGTTAGTTGCGGAGAACCTAACGGGTAACCGGGGCTCCGGCTCGACGTGCAGGAGAAGGAACGGGGTGGTTTTTAGTCAGTAAGAGTCTGACACTCCCTTCCGCCTCACCCAGGCGGGAGCAGTCATTCGATGATTTTCCCCCCTTAATATTATAGCCCTTATAGCCCTAGACAATCGAAGACAGATTTTATTTGCTGTAATATCTTTGGTCTTGAGAAAAACGGTTGTCTATTACAACTGCCGTTTTGTACACACAAAACACTGATCGTTCTTCGATCTTATGAATTCAGTAGTTTAAATATTTTAAGCTGTATTTGTATTTGAATCAATAAAATTAATATTTATATCAATTAAAATAAACGGTACGGAGTTTTATGTAAATTAATGACTTTACGTATATTGCAAGATAAATAAAAGTTTGTAAAATTGTTGGAAAGGAAACGCAATACTGCGCAAGTGATAACACAATGGTTTTTATGTAAGCGATAAAGGTAAATAATAATATTTCAACATTCAAAATTACAACTTGTTGGAGATATAAAAAGATAATATTCGTTAACTTGATTTGTTTGCCATAAAATTAAGATAAACAGTTATCTTAATTTTTATTTACATTAGCATTATTTTTGTGCAGGATTTTTGATTACACATTGAATACGTCGTAATATGTCTGTCCTATTTACTAACAAGTGCACTAACATTTGTTGTATAATTTCTAAATTCACTATGTTTCAATTCAATGTTAATGTAACATTGAAAAATTGAGGATGAGTTTAGGGGATGGTATTCTGTAGATTTGATAATGAAAGTATTACTAATGTGTAAATACATAATTATACATCATTCATTTTAAGTCGTCTTTAAGTATAGTTCTGTCACTACTAACAAAATGACACAGATGGAACGATATTTAAGTACAACTTCAAATTAGCCTTTCAGTATTCAAGCGTTAAGCTGTTATCATCGTCTTCATTCCATACTCATTTATTCTAGGTGATAGATGGTGGTAATGACTTGATTTTCGGTTCTTTATTTTCAACCACGAATTTGTAGTGACTGTGTGGATCTCATCACTTCATTTAAGTGGAAGTCGTTAGTGAAGGTAATGCAACATTGTGACGTGCGTGCAGGAGAACCTGTTGCTGGAGGTGATGTTCGAGATCCCCGGGTCGGACATCTCGTCGGTGCACATCCACGAGGGCTGCGTGGCGCGCGCCGAGCCCCCGCACACGGCGCGGCGCCGCGAGGCGGCCGACCGGCCCGCGCACGCGCACGACCTCGACGACTGGCCCTCGGTGCGCCTGCACAACTGTACGTAGCTAGCGACGTAGTCTAGCGACACCCTATTCCGAGACCTTACTGTTTCCGTCTGTATATGCACCTGTATGTAGCTGTAGTGACCTTGATAACTGTCCTTCTATGCCTTCTTCCTACCTGCTTTACTCTACTGTAGTCAGCCAAATCATCTGGTACGCAGGTTAGAAAACAAAAACCTATTTATACTCGGAATTTTAATTCGATTCCAAATTTGACAATTTCAGTGTTGCAACGTTATGACAAATACTAAATAGTGACGTTGCGAAATTATTCGATATGGAAATGGAATATTTCGGGATCGATTCTTCTCGTTTATAATTATACTCTCGTAAACTAATTTATCAGGAAATTAAATATTTCTGATCGATAATTTAGTTTTGACGATTAATTAACAATCGGAGACTTTTCTTTTATAATTGTGTGTGAAATAAATAAAAAAAAATCACAAAATGACAGTAGCCTATGTCAAATCTGGAATCGAATTAAAATTCTGACTATAGTATTTCCTTGCCTGTATACCAAATAATTTAGCTGAGTGTAGATGATAATGAGAGTTTCCTTGTGGTTGCTTTATTTTATATAGTTTGCTAGTAAAACTTATCCACTCCATGGTGTAACTACACTAAGTCTACTACTAGCTGCACCTAGTATTTGTAGTAATATTGTAATTCTTGTTTATGTTTAATTTAAATATATAGGATAGCTAATACTAAAATCATTATCACTCTTCTAATTTATATTGGTAGTCTTTAATTAATAGTATAAAGCAAATGTATCAGAATGAGAAGATTTTAAAATAAAAAAATCGTTTATTTGAATTATTTTTCAGAATGTCGTTACTACAGCGGTCTGGCCAAGATCGCAAAATGGATGTTCTATGTGATATTTTGTTAGTTTTCTTTTATATTTTATTTTTTATCCTGTTAACACGAAGTTTTGGCCAGTATGTTAGTTAGACAGTTATTGAATCATAGATTTTTTTCTACTTATAAAAGTTTTATATGAAATCATTTAGGGACTAGCTGTTAAACTCAAGTATGGGTATACTACATAACTTTTTGCAGTAATGTTTTTGTTTAATATGAATATTTCAATGTTAATAGTAGTTTATGATAGCATTTAGCAGTTTGACTATAATACATGTATTATTGTTAACAGAGGCTCAAGGCTACAGTTACGCAACCATCTGTCACTCATTCGTGTGTGCTGTGAGCGGTAACAAGTATGGTGGGTCAGTGGCGGCCGGGGCCGGGCGGCCGGGACCGGGCGGCCGGGACCGGGGCCACCGAGGTAAGAACTGATCGTTACTGATGTAGACATCGCGCCGCACTGCGGTATATTCGTGTTGAAAATATATAAAAAAATACAACGTTTTCGTTTAGTGCTTTTTTGTGAAATTGTGCGTTGTGACGTTCGGGAGTCCTGTTTTATAAGACTTAGTATTCCTAACATCATTCCTGTTGTATGGGTTTGATTAGTTATCGAATTACGGATGACCCTTTTTCTGTTATCACGGCGTCCGTAATGGCAGTATCCTCCATTGTTAAGTCCGAATGTTGTAGTTATTATACTTGTATTAGCAAGTTGCCAACTCAGTGTTACATACAAATGTAGTTTTGTTAATGTATCCTATATCAGCATTTGAATCGAACGGCCAAGTGAAATTGTATAGGGAACTACTATTTATAACGATAAGTTAACTGTAGTAAATTGGGACTCCTGACTAAGATTAGTTCCAGCTAGCATTTCATGAAAAATGTGATGGTTTGAACTAAAAGTTTTCTGCGTGATTTATTTAAAATCTTTTCGATTCTATCCTAAATTCAAAAAGAAGGAAAACTTTTTGTTTGACCCTGAAATTAGACCTTTTGGGTCCTTACTGTTAGTTCCTTACGTTAGTTTATGTTGGAAATGAAATGTTGTATTGTAAACAACCACCATACAACATACTCTTGTGATGTAAATTACTGTAAATAATAAATGATATTGATTAATAGAAAAACTGTTATTATTAAGGTTTATTAAAATTAAAATAGGGTTCATTATTGTACATCCCAGATAAGTTGTAAGTACGAAAAGTCACACGCAGATGTTGTTAGTATAAAATAGATATTTTTTATTTCGGCCGGCAACACTGAGAAGGAATGACGTTTTGACATTTTGTTAATTATTATACATAATTATTTTTTTATTTATAAATGGATCGTTGTGGTGTGATTATAGTAAGTGTGAATATTTTTTTGTTAAAAACCTCCAAAAAATTGTGTCTAATATAATTCTGGACTTGTGATAGGATAAATTTTATGGCATGTTGATATAATCACATTGCAACTTGAGTAAAATAGTATAAGCCTATTTTCAATTTAAAATATAAAGAAAACCAAATACTGATTGTTTTATTTCTATTCTTTACTTTCATCATACACAACCTTTACCTTACCGTTACCTTTACAAACTCCACGATAAGTGATAAATAAGACAGTATTATCACATAAACTTTTCTACTTAATTATAATTACAATATACATCGAAATCTTACACGATCATTTTTTTCAAGTACAAAAATTGAGATACACTTAAAATTACTAAACTACATAGTTCCTATTCTTGTTAATCTCTTTGTAGCTCTCAGTTTTAACAATGTCTAGTAAGATATCGACTACTCGATAAACTTCTTCGTAACTCGTGTACAAAGCCGTAGGTGTCACACGGATCACGTTGGGGTCTCTAAAATCGGGAACAATACCTCTCTTCTTCATTGCAATACTGATTCTGTAACCTTCGTCATGTTCTAAGCACACGTGACCGCCCCTCTTACTGTCTTCTCGCAAATTCCCAATAGTAAACCCATAATTCGATAGTTTCTTCTCAATAAGGTACATCAAGTAACCCGTTATGTGCAAAGACTTCTTCCTCATATTCGCCACTCCTGCTTCATTGATCACCTTCAAAGCCCCCTCTAAAGACGCCATCGATAAAACGTTAGGCGTTCCAATCTGCCACCCATTCGCATCTTGTTGGTGATCAAATTCCTGTCTCAATAGAAACTGAGTCTCTATCTTGTTACCATACCATCCAGCTAGACCTGGTAACCTATTAAAATGTCTCCTGTTGACGTATATGGCTGCAGAAGATCCAGGTCCTCCATTCAAATATTTATAGGTGCACCAGATTGCAAAATCAGCATCTATTTCTTTTAAATTGATTTCAATTGCTCCGACACCATGGCAAAGGTCCCATCCAATAAGAATACCTCTTTCTTTTGCTGCCTTAGTTATTTTGACCATGTCTAGTACCTGAGCGCTTCTGTAGTACACTGTAGGCAGGAATATAAGCGCCACATCCTCTGTCATGGCGTTTATAATGTCATCTTCGTCCATAAATTTACCTTTACTCTTCACAACTTTAACTGCGTCTTTGGGATCGTAACCCTGTAACATTACTTGGCTGTCTACTGCATACCGGTCTGTAGGGAAGTTGATGTCGTCCACCAATATCTTGTACTTGTCCTTTGTAGGTTTGTAAAACGTACTTATTCCTTGATGGATGTTGATTGTAGTTCCTCCAAAGATTGCTATCTCATCAGGATCTGCTCCGACGATGGGAGCCATGAGTTTCGCTAAATATCTGGAATATAAATAATATTTGTTGTCGTCGACTGTCCATATTTTGATTCCTTCGTCTTTCCACCTTTCCATGACTTCTAAGACACATTCTTCGGCGTCCTTTGTGGCTAGACCCAAGGAATTGCCACACATATAGATGCTGTCTTTCTTGAGGAAAAATCGTTGTCTAAAATGCCCCATAGGGTCATTGTTGTCTAATGATTTTGGGTATTCGGGATCGTCTTGGTATGGCACGTTCATTGTACTTGCTTGTTTTGACGTCCTTGATCTTCTCTTGAATAAAGGTGATTGCCGAATTTGGATACACAACCGTCTACTTGACGACTCTTCTATTTATTGAAAAATGTTAATGTAATTAGTTACTTTTATGGTCGAGCCCACGTAATTTACCAGTGTGTAATACTATGTGGGAAATACTAGAAGGTATTTAAATACTCGAAACCTTTTATTGTTTTGTAAGTACTATCGATAAGCTATCACTGAGTCAACGGAAGGTATAATAATCCTGTAGTTATGCGAATATTGAAGGAGCAATGTTCTGCGGATAAGGTGACTACGATTTTAGTGAAAGACAAATCTAAAATTATCCATAATCATACAATCCTTCTTGCTATTTAAGCATTGTCTCTTTCATCTTCGTTGTATTGTTTATTCCTTTTTTATGGAGGTCTTCCATGGAAATTAATGTCAATGACTAATGCCATTATATTAATTACTTCGTTAATTAAATAGGGGATGCCCTTTATAATTCTATATTGGAATAGTTCGGAGATTACTAAATAATCGTATTCATAAGTACTACAAGTATATCACGAAGAGGAAATATTTATAATATAATACTACTGGAACTGGTACTACTACTACTAAATACTGAAAAGCTTTAAAACATATGGACAAATTAAACATACTGCAATCATCATCAGGAAATGCAATCAAATGCTTTTAAGACACGCATTTGTTGACATATGATACTATATTTAGATACTGAAATACATAGCTTGAAGAGAAGCAGTGTAACAGCTTTCTTTTTGTTATAATCTGGGTGACATATTCCGAATTTATTAAAATCGTTTATATAATACCTGCGGCAATTCTTAATAAATATTGCAATTCTACATAATATTTATTTATATGCAATAAAATTAAATAATCGATGTATTACAAATATGATATTGATAATCAGTTTTATTTAAGTATGTGTGTGTCATTTAATAAACTCATTTACAGTGTAATATCACTTTTCTATACGAAACTGTTTTAATTAATTTATTAAATATTAGCATTGTATATTTTTATGAACATAAATAAAGTGCTAGATGAGTGAAATACATATTATTATGTATTCGGGAGCTTGATGCTGATATATATCCATGTGTATTTTGTCCACAGTAACAATCGCAGTTTTTAAGTTAGAAGTTTTATTTAACACAAAGTGTAAACATAAGAAGTTTTATTTAACACAAAGTGTAAACATAATTGACACAGTTTGACTCCCAAGGCACAGACACAGTCTCTTGGAACAACGACTGTGGCACTTGGCTACTATAGAGTTACACGCACAACATAATCACATAGACACGAAGGACATCAGTAATTTTTTAAGTCTGATAACGTGGTACTTAACCCGTTACACAACGCACGCATAAAAACCACTGACATTTTGCTTCTATAATCATTTCTAAGTGACATTATGCCCGCCAATTTTCAACGTTATTGTTGATTCCTTTTTACTTATAAAAGGAAGGAGTAGTTATAAAAATGTCTCCTCCATTCCGTAAATGATTGTCACCCGACTACGCTTATAAAATACAAAGTTATCTTTGATAACAATAACAAGTCCGGATTATATCATAAAAGTGATAGGTTGATACTGCAACTGCCGAAAATCACTGTTTCCTATATTGAGCTGGGATTTCAGTTTAACTTGGGTAAATTAGTACTAGGAACATTAGATTTTGTTCAATTTGTGAGTATTGTCATACCTTCAGACTTTGATAGATTGATAAGGTTTAGTATCTTAGGGCAACTTGCTTGCTTCCTAAAGCCATTGACCGTATAAACATAAGAACCCTTTACCTAGGTAGACATCTAACTGTCTTTTTTTAAGGGGAGAAAATCATCGAATGACGGCTCTCGCCTGGGTGAGGCTGGAGGGAGCGTCAGACTTTTACTGAATAAAAACCACCCCAATCATACTCCTGCCCTTCGAGCCGGAGCCCCGGCAACCCGTTAAGTCCTCCGCGGCTCCGTATTAACTATATCTATGAGCGATTCAAACCCAAAGGAACTCGGATCGTAGTTTCAGTTTTCTTTCTCAAATGCTTCTAATTAAAGTTCTAGGTGAAACTGAATGAATGTCTAATATTTATTATCTTTATGATATCTTATAGGCTCGTGTACGATGATGTAATAGGCTTTAGAGCCCGCCCAGTTGAGTCAAGAGTGAATTAGATTAGAATACTCAGGGAACTAGTATTATAAATTTATAATTATTGAGGTAGGTTGTTTACATAACTGAAAGAACAGCCTGTTTCGATTCTTTATGTTGACAGTGGAGCCGTTACTACTAAAGTAATAATTATGTAATGACTAACTACCTCATCGATTGAGTCGAACCGAGTAAGGGTATTCGAGTTCGATTCTCTGGCTGGTAAAAAAATAGTAAGGCTCTATTTCAGAGTCCTGGTGATTTGAATGGTGAACAGTGGGTTTTATTGATAAGTAACTATTTAAATGTGTGATGCACCTCTACCTATCCCTTGGTGTATATAAGGCGTGATGTTAAGTGTATGCGCCTATTTATGTGCTCTGAGGTAAGTTACAAACGAAAGACTGAATAGGACTTACGAGAAAGCCTTTAAACTTTAAGTTCACAAAACCACAACCTACGGTACACCCTGTAACCTGGACAAAAACTTGTTGACAACGAATACCTCGACCTTGTCAAGATAATCAGCATCATAAACTCAATACATATCAGGCTTAATTGAAACGTAACTACGTATCGTTTGATAAACACTCACAAATAAGTAGATATGGCCATTAGGTGTAGATACCAACAGAAAGATCAATCACCTTGATTGATTTAATTAAAATAAGATAAGAAAAAATGTCTATAGATAATGAGAGGGCGTGAGTGATGTGTAATTATTGAATTTTCAAAATTTTTACAAGTCACGTTGTATTAGTAGACAAATGACAAAGGTACTTTGATCTAATGTTACCTACGTCAATGTTATCTTTACTGTTGATCGGGCAAACTAAAATAGGTACTGTAGGTAGTACCTGTAAAAACTCCAGTACCTAAGTAGGTAGTTAGGAACCTAGACAAAGCTGATTACAAATATTTACCCAAATGCACGAAAGGAGGATATTTTCATAACGTTGCCCCACATTAGAGACTGTGTGCGTTTATAAAATACAAGTTCACATACACAATGACACCCAGACCAGAAACAACAATAGGGTAGTTTCCTAAATTTTATTTTAATGTCCGTCTAGTACATTAATTTAAAACTTTAGACACGTATTTTTTCTTTTCTCACAAAATTAAATACTTTCGACGATATATTAATTTGAAATATCGTGTGACGTCACAGCGTGTCACATTTTGCAGCACGTTATGACGTAACGACCTCCCACTCTTAAACTTAGCGCCATTTTATCTAAGTATTGCAACTTAATACGAGAAAATTAAAATACATTACAAATATTTAGGTTTATGTACTTACTTGAAAAACCATGTGCATGGAAAACTAAAGCCGTTACAACTCAGACAGGAGACACAGGCTGGGCGACTGTGTGTTTGACAGGATATTTAAGTAAGTAAAAAATAGGGACTTTGAATATTTGAGAGTAGGTACCTACCTTATACTTTTCCTTTCCATGACTTTGTTATGAGCGCCAAAAAATAACAGATTAAAAATAAACTATGGTCGATACACTTTTTTTAGGTAATTAATCTTTCTTTGGATATTAACCAGAGATCACGATTAGGTACATTCTGTCAAGTTGCTTTTGAGAATAAAATATCAGACTGACAGCTTGTTTACAAGAAAGATTAAAATTTAAAATGTACAAACGTAATTGTCCACATCTTCAAGAGATGATCGTTAATAAACTTTCTAAGACTTCAATACGAATGTTATCAGCCGACATGAGTAGAACTCGAAAGCTGCCCAAGCCCAATTATGGTCCCGTGGACGTGCAGCGTTCGGTCCTCATGAATGGGATGAAAGTGGCAGTAGCCAAACCTCTTGGAGGTCAGATTGGTGCTTGCACAGTAATGTATCAGGTGGGAAAACACGTTTTTTATTAGGAAGACACAGCGCGTCGTGATTTAAAAATCAGTAGATACCTACCTATAATAATATTATGTCTGTGTCGTATTATATAAATACAATTAATGTTTTACCAAGGCCTTTAGCAATTATGGCTGTGCTGTATGTGCTGTATTATAGGTACCTGGTAAAATACTAAATATCCTTATAGTAGGTACCTACATATTCTTAAAGTATGTAGTACCTAACCTAACCTTGCATAGTACCTATTTTACCTATAGTAGAATAGTATAGTATATACGAGTCTGTGGATACACTCGGTACCTGCTAATCACAATACTTACCATGTAGGCTGGCTCCCGATATGAAAAGGATCAATACCTAGGCGCTAGCCACTTTCTGCGTACCGCATCTAGTGCCTCCAGCTGTGCCTTTTCTGCCTTCACCAAAATGCGCTATATGGGCCAAAAAGGTGCTTCAATTACCTGCACTAGTAACAGGCAATCCATAGCATACACATTGCGCTGTCCAGTCACTACCTTCCCAGAAATGAAATGTTTCCTACTGGATACTGTTATTAGGTAAGTGAAAAGTCCGAATACTTATTTACTACAATAAATGATTTCGTTCCAGTATTTGCTCCATTTGTTTTTCTTTACACCGTACCGTAACCTTTATCAGATGCTGCTTCAAAGAATGGGAGATGGACGACTTAAAACCCATGGTCAGAGACGATTTACACCGCATTCATCCAGAGAAACGTGTGTTGGATTTGGCCCAAAAGGCTTGTTGGGGAGGACCTCTCAACAACTCTATTTACTGCGAGCCATCAAGGATAGACAGTATGAATGGAGAGATCCTCAACAACTATACTGAATGGAACTACAAGTCCGACCATTGTTCAGTGGCTAGTGTCGGTGTTCCCTTTGAAGAGACCATAAAAATGGCGGAAGCTATCGAGCCTAGACGAGTAAGTTTCAATTACTTTATTAGTATTAACTAAATAAGCGTACGGAACGATAGTTCCAACGTATTCGACGATAGTTAAAAACTGGATATGTAGATACTTCTATGATTACCTACTCCTTCACCAGATAGCTACCGATTCTTTGAACCAATGGCCTCTAAAAGTTAATAAATATAGAATTAAAGAATAAAATACCTTGTATGAAACGCAAGCTTTTATTATTTGTTTGTAAATAGAGCTATAGAGTTAGAAATATAACAACAAATACGTGTTACATTGTGATAGCGAGAGGAAAAGAAATGTATATTCTTAAATATACCATCAAAGTGTAACACGCTTTTATTGTTATATTTCTTGTAAGAATACCTAAATATATTTCTAACTTTTTAGGTCATTAGCTCAAATCAATAATAAAAGGTTGTTTTTATAAAGAGGCACTGTACAATGTAACACCCACTTTTCACTATTTATGTTATGAGTCCCATGTCATAGGGGGTGAGCCTATAGCCATATACCGGGCACAAATCCAGACTCCGTGCTATTACTGAGATTTAAAAAAATCCAGTTATACTTTGCCCGACCCGGCAGTCGCACTTGTGACAACACGGTCTCGTACGCCTAACAAATGACCGGTACTCTGTGGTCCCGTGATTGGTAAAGACACACATAATAGAGGTAATAATATTATAGATAAGTTAATAAATAAAACTGAATCACAAGCGATTCCCTTTCTTATACTCCAAAGCTACTAGACAGATTTTAGTGCGAAGCCGAGGATGGAAAGCTAGTTATTTTATAATTTTCTAGTAGGAGGTAGATTGTTACTCATTGTGGAATAAAATATAGATAAAGCCAGAAGCAAGGCGTGTCGAACCATCAATCCCGAGACGAGGGTTCGAGTTGTATGACCTGGGGGCTAACAGCGACACCTGGATATGTGTGGTTGTGCCCGGGTGTGGATCTCGAGACTTAACGTAAGTGTCCACCAACAGTACAAACACCAGCGTAAAAACAAATCTCAAAGATTCTATAAATTAAAGATCAGTTCTAAAGTAAAACCGAATCAACTTGAGTAGGTATATGTACTAGTACCTATTACAAATTTCTTAATACAGTTACTTTTTTCTTTTTTTATCAGGAGCCTACTGAATCACTCAATAGTAGCACACGCTTGTGGAACAGGTAACATGCAGGACGGGACACACGTATTAGACCGCACACCGGAACAGCCACTCGGATACATGGCGGGAAATGATGTTTATACCTCATACAGAGCATTCAATTTATCGTATCATGATACTGGCGTTTTCGGTGAGATTGGTTGATTGGAATTTTCGGAACTTACCTACTTAAATGACGAAAGATAATGAAGAAAATATTTTTCAGGTATAATAGCAAGAACTCGTGCCCCTACGGCTTGGAACGTAACAAAAGCAGCCGCACAATTTTTGTGTAATGTCGGATGTCTCACCTATAAACAGATAGAAATTGGTAAAAAGAGACTTAGTAAGTATTTATTCAACTTCCCAATTTGTATGTTGATTACGTTTTTGGCTGGGACAACGTCCCGAGCGAAGCTCATTATGTCTTATAGTCTTTAATGTCACGTATCTTCTTATTTTTTAAAACAGAAGTCAGTTTAGCAATCCATGATGATGACTGCGTGAGAGTGGCCGAGGGACTAGCACTACAGCTAGCCAACGGTTATATTGTGGACACCGCGAAAGACTCCATGGCTATGATTGATAACATCTCTATTGAAGATATATCAAAGACTGCAATGTCTTTGTCTCGTAAATGTAAGTATCAATTTCCTTTTTGGCAGCAAATAATGAAATATGATTGTAAAGGTATTTTGCGTTACATGTCTTGTATTAATTATTTTCAGATCGAGATATGGCTCTTGCTGTTGTAGGTGATATTGGACAGGTACCTCATGACAAAGAGCTTTTTTGGTCATATTGAAGAGTATCATACAATTTTGTATTTAATTTTAGAAGGTTGTTTTTTTATTTTGAAATAAATTATATTAGATATCACGGAAGTACACGTCATTACTAATACTACTTATTATTAAATTAATATGTTTTTCTCGAATCACACTCAAATTAAAAGCCTTGTGTTTGAATTGGCCATTAAAAGTTACTGTCTTACGTCAGGTTTGCCAGCCAATGTCAATTGTCAAAGTGTCAACGTCAAATTGTGAATTATAACCTAAAATTGTATAATAGATATTACTTAGCTTATTTACATTTAATAAAATAAAACATAGGTATACCATTATTCCGAAACAAATTATGTAAAATACGAAAAAAGAGAAAGAAGGCATCAAGATGAACTCCCTTCACAACACCATAAAACGTATGTACTAAAGTTTTTGAGGTTATATTTTACTCTAATTTTGTTTGTAAACCATTTTACTTATTTCATTACAGAATTCCGTCTTCTAAACCTCAACACGGCATTAAAGACAATTTCTGAATGCAAGCCTATTATTCCTAATGTAAAAGTTAAGAATGACTTGGTTTGTAAACAAAATGTCCTGTCATTTGCACCACGGAGTGTTGGTGTTGAAATAATTGATAGGCGGAAATATAATGGGATAAAACAGGACCCGATACCTTACATACCTATTGTGAACCCTCGGTCCATCCTCCCACTGCTGGACAAGGAGTGGAGGAAGGATGAGATAGGGCTGCCATCTATTCAGCAAGATGAGATCCATGCTGCGAGGTTGATTGTCATTAGGAGGAAGAAGATGAAGAAACATCAGAGAAGGAAGCTGTGGAAGAAGATGCGGTACACTTGGGCTAGGGTTAGTATCTTAGTTTTGAATTTCATCAATTAAATTTTTAAACTGAATGGCATTTTCTTATTGGAACAATACATTGTTTATCTGAATTAGAGATTGAACAGCAGATTGACAAACAATTCCGTTTTGACGTTTCAATTGTGCCTAATTAAGGAAAATTCAAATAAATGCTTTGACTTCGATTTTAAGCGAACATAATGTAAACAATGTTGTTCTTGTTATGATTTTAGTGTAATATTTGCAAGCTTAGTAAACATAATATACACAACTTATTTCTTATTCTTACACAAAGACATACAAGTACAGAACATTAAACTGTCAAACACCAAGCGGTCACCGGTGACCGCGACCTATTGTTCTTTAATTGTGTCTATAAAACCGGTACTCGACGAGTTAAAATACTAAAAACAGAACTAAAAATATATTATACATACTTTAGAAACTAATTTATTAATAAAAAAATTACAGGTAAAGCAGCACCGTCGTCAAGCCAAAGAGAAGAAATTCCAGAACTCTCTATTGGCTATGGTAAAGGAAGCAAATGAGTTCCAAGCTGAGCAGTATGTTGCTGACAAGATCCAGAAGGCCAACCACACTCCGCTCCCAACTCGCTGGAAACACAAACGTTTGCCAGAGTTCCTCATTCGACAACTGCTGGGTATAGACAAGAAGATTAACTATAAGCACACCGATGTTTACAAAGCTTGATTAGTTTGTTCAATTTATGTAATATTAAAGTAGTTTTATTTAATTGGAGTTTATTTATGTAATTAGTAGATTCTTATTAGATGCCTTACTGATAAGTCAGTTTCTTTTTTTTTAAGGGGGGAAAATCATCGAGTTTCTGCTCCCGCCTGGGTGAGGCGATAGGGAGTGTCAGACTCTTACTGACTAAAAACCACCCCGTTCCTTCTCCTGCAGGTCGAGCCGGAGCCCCGGTTACCCGTTAGGTTCTCCGCAACTCCGAATTGGCATCGGCCCTATTGGGCCCCATCTAAGTCAGTTTGTTTGTTGATCAGGAAACTAGCTTTTAGGGGAACAACTAGGGTGTGTGGGGTTCTTATCTCACTGAAACTGCCTTGGTGGCTACCATTACCACCATTAACCCGTAGTATGTCGGAACACAGACTTATGTGAGACAAGGTGTTTTCTATTGTGTCTCATATACCAGCAGACAAGGGGTTAAGGGGGTACCGGGTCCTCATAATAGACAGAGGCCAATATACTACTTGAGGAGCAATGAGAAAAGTTATTGGAGACATACATAAATATTTTTGACTGAAGTTGTATCAGTTCACAACATATCTACTGTTAGAGTGTGGAACGTAATATAGAATCACATTTGTACGACACTACTGGATGCAGAAAGCAAGTGATCAGAGCCATTTTTTCACAATAGTACCACATAAACACAATAGAAGTTGCTAATGGATTGCCGACATGTTGCGGTTTGCGCCTCCGGTAATTTCACTTACAGGGCGAAACACAATATTCACAAATCACCTTCGCAACGTAAACAAAACAATGTGCACACATGTGATAGTCCTGTATCCTAGTTTAAAACTTGTGACATTGACTTCTTATCTATCAGTGCGGCCGCGGAGAACCTAACGGGTTACCGGGGCTCCGGCTCGACGTGCAAGAGAAGGAAGGGGTAGTTTTTAGTCAGCAAGAGCAGACTCTTGCTCGAGCTTGCTCTTGGGTGAGGCGGGAGCAACCATACGATGATTTTCCCCCCTTAAAAAAATCTATCAGTGGGAGGGTAACTTATCAGTACGTATTACTAATAGTACAGCTACATTTTTGCTTTTTTAGTTTTCAATTCAATTCAATATTTTCACCTTTTGTTTGTTTGGTTTTTAAGTCTGTTTTTTTTTAAAAGCAGTTTTTATTTATAGTTAGGTACGTTTTAGGTAGGTACATATACATACATAGCGGGTTCGTAAAACAAATCGTAGCACTAATAACATCATGATTAAATCAAATAGTCTTTAGTGTTCATTAGTGTTAAAGTATCTACCAAATATATTATTAGGTTTCTGGTTTCGGAAGCGTTTCCCATCCGGTATAATATATATATATATATAATATAATTATGTAGGTCTAAGTACACTCTACAAAGTCTTTAACTTTACGATGAATGTTTATTTATGTAAAATTTTTATAATAACTATCGTGACACATACTAAATTAACTAAAAATCGCGGGTTACTCACGTGAATATACTGAGAAAAGCTCTAGTAGTTTGGAACCACAGAGGGGTTTTAAAGTTACGAATAGTGATTGATTAATACCTAGGTAGGTACGCTACATAGGTAGGTAGCGACCGATGTCGCAATCACTCCTCAGAATGCGGATTATTTGAAACAAACGACAAACGATATTTCTTTCCTAAGTAGGCGTTTCTTTGTGATTTATTATTGGACTTAGTTTAACAAAAAAATGTATATTTTGCGCGTATTCATCAGAGCAAATCAAAATAACATTAGATGGGGTGGAGTTCCTGTTACAGCGGTCAATTTGAAAAGTAACTACCTAAATAATAGGTGTTAATAGTATAAAAGTAAATACTAAATAGGTACTGTAACAGTAATAAAAAGTATATACTTATTATGTTCTATGGTTTTTAAGGCTTCTGTCATCGTGTCTAAAACCATGAAGGGATTTTGGTTGTCACTCGAGCGCGTCAGATTAACATATAGGGAAAAACTAGTGTCATGTTGAATATACCCACCATATAGGTATACGATCTGATTAGAAGGGGGGACTAAAAAATAAAATGAAAAAATATCTGACTAAATAAAGTCACTTTCGTCAGCTTAAGGGAAGATAGGTCAATCGGTACCTTCTTTTAGGTGTGAATTTGCGATATTTTAAAAATTTTACCACTTAGGTAAAATTTTTAAAATATCGGTACCTTCATAATCGTCAAATATCTCCTGTTAGATCTTAATTTTATGGATTGGTCCCAAACTGTTATAAAACAGATCGGGAATATGATTAGCGTTGCGATCTCATGGGATGGTAAATCCATGTCCAGGGACATCACAGATAGAATACGAAATGGGTTTAAAAACATCGATATTTTTGTTTACATCGCTACGCTCCGTTGATCTCGTGGCCCGACCTTCGATATTTAGGTCGCTTCCCTGTCAAACGCTTTATTTTTTTCCATTTTAACGGACTTAATTACAAATTCGGAGTTTCATTGACATGGATTAATGACACCCTTGTATTTCAAGTCGATGGTTTTGTTTACATATTTTTCGTATGGCTAGCTCTGTATTACCTAACGTGGTACCTACCTACCTACCTAATTATTAGTTGTTGATATTTTTCACTGAAGGAAATGTTTAATGTATGTAGCGTTAATAGGAACCTATTTTCAATATTTTTCTACGTTTCCTTCGGCGTGAGGCCCTGGGGCCCAAGTTTATTAACTATTGAGGCCCAGGGGCCCACTCATTAACAAGCTTAATGAACCTGCAATTCTCGAAAGAATAATGAATTAATGAAAAATGACACTCGGTAGTAATTCTTTTGTAGATTTACCAAAGATTTTTTAATCTAAACAGGCTTTTTAATCCAAAATTCCAAACTAAACACTATCTACAAAAGATCTTATTAAAATCTGAAATGTCTAATGATTTTAGGCATTTCTTTAATATAAAAGGCCATGTCAGGTGTTGAAACTCCAATTACAAGAAATTCTAAGTACTTGAAGCATCATCAAAGTACGAGTAAAATATAGAAATATCAGGAGCTAGACAATCAGACAGTCTCATTATACAGCAGATGGTTGGAAGTGAAAGGAGTTCAAAGCTGCGTTTATCTACAGCGCACGCTTCACGGATCCCTTTGACAACCAGCCGACGATGCCGTCTTTACGAATCTAAGTACAATCGATATTTAAGTTTGGGGGATTTTTCTCAGATTTGGGGTGCTAGCGTTTTGTGTTTTGGTTTATTTAGATAATTATTGAAAATGTTGTTATTTTACTTAGTTATTTTCTCGTATTGTGGTGGCACAGTCTGATGTTTGTAATGTTCTAGGTTTGAACTTTACCTAATTAGAAAAAAAAAGATTTTTAGTTATTTATTTATGAACTCTTTAATGCACACAAAAATAAGGTACATAAAGCGGACTTAATGCCATATCGCATTTGCTCCCAGTCAACCTTTGGGTTAAGTAGAGAATCAGTGAAAATAGGCTTGTGTAATATAAAATATTGGTTTCTAATACATTAATGTCGACGATCTGTTATTGAAAAAGTCAATCTCAAATTCAGCTCATTTTTTAAACCCGGTAATCGCACTTGAACTTCTTTACTCAGTGGACGCGCTTGGAAGTACCTACTAAAATATTACAACACTACTAGATCAGTTTCAAAGCCTAGACTAGCAATTTGTCGCGGAGAACCTAACGGGTAACCGGGGCTCCGGCTCGACGTGCAGGAGAAGGAACGGGGTGGTTTTTAGTCAGTAAGAGTCTGACACTCCCTTCCGCCTCACCCAGGCGGGAGCAGTCATTCGATGATTTTCCCCCCTTAAAAAAAAAAAAAAGACTAGCAATTTAATAAATAGGTCAATTCATTATTTTCTCAGTAACAAGAACTCACACTCATTGACAAACAAATAGCCTCCTAGCCAACAGTGATTAATCAATCTCACAATTTCGTATAAAATCCCTATTCCAAACTGTATTTACAGGCTCGAGCATTAAAATACCTACAATTTAAACTCCCATTTATCAACACTGCTCCGCCCGGGGCCATTCATTTTGTTTTTATTCGATACATCTCGATGAAATCCGCGATAGTTCGTGTTGGCGTCCAATTTCCTGGCGAGGGCGACCCGCGACCACCCGTAGCGACCCGGCGACCACCAGCCCGCCAACCCGCCGACCCGCCAACCCACAACTTACACACGAACGCTCGCAATTCGATTCTAACGTTTTTTACGACACTCCTCGGATATAAGAATGTTTATTACGCTATTACTTATGAATATTAATCTTTGAATCTTATTCCTTTTCTGGTCTGCTTTTTAATAGGGATTAATGCTGGAGTTTTAGTGCTTTTGGCATTTTATTTTGTGTTCTATTATTACATCGGGCTTAAAAATCGATTTACAAAAGTGTCTTTTATTCTGAGACTGAGCTGATCAGCAACCGGCATGGTCTATCTTGTTAATCGAAAGGTCGTACAGAGATTTCATACTTCGAACCTCCTGATTATTAGGGCTTTGATTTGAATTTTTAGTCTCCCGGTAAGTGAAGCATTAGTTAGGTATTGTTTAATTTGTATTTTTATTCCATCAATACATTACTTAACACGTTAACCGCCGCGTAGGTCACCGGTCACCTACGTTAGCGGAGGATTTGCCTTCAACAGTTTTCTGTCAGCAGTCAAAGGCTTAAGTAGTTAAAAATCAATGCCATCTCATTGTTATTATGTATTTTAAGTGGACAAAATGTATGTACCTACTCCACTTGTTAAAACGTAGATTTTCAGAAACATTATTATCAGGAGACAATTTATTATTCGTAGCCGCGGTACGAGCCGGTCTTCACGAAAGACTTTAATATTTTAGCATAAATAACTATATTCATTAACGTCTGAGTCCCGGGCTTAAGTTCTGCTAAATTATAACAAGTACATAAATTTAGATAGGTAGGTACCTAATAAAATCTGCTTCGTTAAGTGCTTTCTGAGAACTCGTCCCGTTATAGACTAAAGAAGCAACAAGGTTGTGGCCGTGGGCGGTCAGCTGTAGTAAGTACTGT